TCCCTGGCTAAAGTAGTCTTTTCGGTTGCTTCGTCCTATGGCTTTATGTTGGTCAGCATCGTTACGTCTGTAAGTGCTTCAATAAGTTTGTCGTCATTTAACAAATGATGGATTAGTAGGCACATTCAGTTGTTTATCACATTGAATCACTACTGTTTATAATAAATATAACGGCAGGTTGTTCGTTGACTTTCGTTTGCATGACTTAGCGTCATGGTTCTCAGCGTGTAGTTAGGGTGTGTGTTTAGGTAGTGATACAAATCACTAAATTATAATTCAATATAAACTCAGTTTGCTAGCATCTGTTTAAGGCTTTCTAAACAAGCTCACCCCAACATCAGTCAGGAAAGGAGTTACCCTGTTTGTGTTATAGAAAGTCAGATCGTTTAATCAGTTAAGATAGTTTATTTCTTAAGTCATTTTGGGAAGCGTTCGTTAGTTATGGTATTTACGGTGTATCCAAACTAATCGACTTATCATACTTGATACTCTACAATGTGGTTGGAAGATGACGTTTAATCATACTGTACAATGTCAAGAAATTCTATAAGTCTTAGTTCTTGCTATTTTTTTAATGATGTTATTGCACTAGGTAGAAACCAGCTTGAGGTTACATATGCAACGGAATTACAACCAACTTCTCTACAACAAATGAGGCGACTGAATGTTCAGGCCTGTCCCGTACACATACGTATTTGTGCTTAAACTTGTTCACAAGATTCCTCGTGTGAAGAAAACTATCGAGTGAGTGATGTATTCGTTAATAGTTGTAAATTATGAATTCATAAAACAGAAAATGAACGGCACTCGGTCAGAAAAAAAGAGGTAGTATTTTAGCCTTAAAAAAACTCCCTAACTCAACTAAAATCGACAAAAATTCCAAGGGAAGCAATATAACTAGTAGATAACTTATATTTCTTGACGTCTTGCGTTAATTGAGTTAACTATAAAAATCAAGTCACATGTGCATAAAATGAAATAAATCATCCAATACAATGTCAAGTAGGAAATATATATATACATGGTTATAAAAGTATTTAAGTTTTGACAGGAAAATTCCTAATCCTTATGCGGTTGACAGTTTCTTCTGTGCCTCAACATAGAAGTTTGCAAAGTACCTTGAACTGTAATAAATTTACCACAGGTTTCACAAGTAGTTTTACATTCATCTAAATAGTTATTTTCAAAATAATCTTTCTCATTTTTATTTGATTCGTATAACGATATATTTTCATTAAAACATTTGTAATTATCATCACTGGAAGCTTCATTAAGCGATCCACAAACGATTTGTTTTCGTAATCGTACAGCAAGATTATAACTGCTACTCGGATCATGATAGTCTGGCTCATCTATATCTTCTACACTCGATCGACCCTCAACTGATATCATTTCGGGGTATAATCTATGAAAGAAAAACGTAAAACACGTATGACATAAATATGTCTATTTCATTTATATTAATAACAACAATAAAATAAATAACAAGAGGTTTTTGTGGATATGATAGTAATTTCAATAGTTGAGATCGTGAGTCAGTTGAAGCTACACCACCACGGAAAACCTAGAAGCACTGGAGTTCAACCGGGTCAGTTGTGAGATAGTAACTCATTGAAGACAATGGTGGATGTCGCTCAATTCCGTGGATTAGTTTAAGTTAGACATTAACACCGTTTGATACCGGTTCAGTGGTCTAGAGGTTAAGTGTTCGCGCGCGAGACCGATAGGTCCTGGGTTCGGATCTCGTGAGGCGGGGTCGTGGATGCGCACTGCTGAGGAGTCCCATGATAGGACGAAACGGTCGTCCAGTGCTTTCAGGTTTTTCATGGTGATCTAGCTTCATTTGACTCAATCTCAACTACTGAAATAATAAAATTATTTGAAAAGTGTTTTGCATGGACTGATTATCCTGAGGAAAATCTCTGTTTTAGCATGGAGTGACATAAACTGAATTAAAATATCAAGAGCATCGGACAGTTATTTCTTCCCTATTCATTATTCCATATTGCCTAATCCATACTAGTCGCCAAGTTAGCCTGGCGATAAGAGGTAAGGTATATAATGTGTAGGTAAGAGATATTCCCTGTATGCTTGTAAAAACTAACTTAATAATGTCCGGTATCTTGCTGTGTTTAACTAATGTTAACTTTGGGGGACCGATCACATCCATCAGTAAAATCAAGCGCCTGCACTGCATGCTCAGTCATATTTAGGAAAACTCTATTACTGTTACTATTCTTGTAACATGTTTTAGTGAATTAGATAGGTTGAGATGGAAAATAAGACTCCTAATTTAGGGAAGTGATTTTAGTGGAGCTAGATAGTTCATCTTCATCCTCACGACTACCAACTATCTATCAAATCCCAATATGTATCTTCGCTTATAGCAGTGCACATAAGCAATTGTGGATATACGTTCGACTAGTAAAACGTGATATTTTGGAAAGCCAGAATACAAAAGAATTCTTAGAAAATTAACAGGCAGGTCAAATCAATGAGCATACCGAAATTGATCCAAATTATCAACAGGTTGGAAAAATCATGAACAACCATCAGATAGAATCGAAGAAGATATCCAAAATGAGTAGGCAGAAAATGACAAGACAAGCGGGTCAAAAACAAGTCGAAACCAAGGTCAACAGAGCAAGTTATTAATCATATGTGGAGAAATTTGGATAGCTCATTTTGATCTGAAGGTTGTATTTGATTAGGTTGTTTAGAGAGACGATGAGAGCTCCACGACTAAGTCAGTCAGCTCAGAGAACGAAACTCTGGCAAAACAAGGCAAGTTGTAGGAATATCTTCTAAATGGCTTTCGTATAACGAATTGTTTGAAATGGGACTAAATGGGAAATGTGTAGGTGACTAATTTATAGTATTGTATAGTGGAATGAAAGGCCTTCGTAAAACTGGGAGTTATTGGTTCATGACGACCGCTCGGGTAGAGTCCCAAATATCATGCGACTCAGTGTCGTCAGATGTTATCACACATAGCTGACAATAAGAGCTATGAGGAAGTTCAAACCTGCGAAATAGTTGTTAAAAACTAAGTATTCCAACTAGTAAGTTATTGTTCAATGTTTTATCACTCTAATTAGCAACGATACACTAAATTCCCTGGTCGATTAACATAATTTATTATCATCTAGTATTTATTATTAGTAGGAAAAACAGAAAACAAATATGAAAATCACTACTTACGAATCAATATTCAGGTAATCTGTAACTTGATAACCTCCTTTGAATAAATTAAACGTTATGCCTGATTCATGATCTGGTTCTTGTAATGGAATGTCATCTACATTTATTTTCTTACAAATTTTAGGCACTGATTTAGATTGAGTTACAAAATAATAAAAATAAGAAAGGTGATAAAATAAAGAATAATGAAAGTTAGTCGGAAAATCACGTGACAAGTAAAAACTATACAAAGCGATCTTACATAGTTAGAGAATATTTTAGAGAACCGCTTCTTGGAATAAATACAAGGTAGGCGAATCACAGCGTTCTTACATTGTATAATTTAATTTTACAGTTAAACAGTTAGTCGTATGGTCATACTTCTTGACTTAGAATATGCTGATGACATAGTTTTATTTGGCGAAGACGCTGACAAAATGCAGAGTCTTCTGACCACTCTAAGCAACAATGCAAGCATGTTCGGGATGCGATTCTCTCCCTCGAAATGCAAAATGTTGCTTCAGGATTGGGTTACATCGACGCCCGAACTAGTGATAGGGAGTGAAGTAGTTGAGTGTGTCGACCGCTTCACTTATCTTGGAAGTCTCATCAGCCCTTGTGGTCTGGTATGTGACGAAATCTCAGCACGGATACAGAAGGCTCGACTAGCTTTTGCCAACTTGCGTCATTTATGGCGTAGGCGAGATATCCGTCTATCAACCAAAGGACGGGTTTACTGCGCAGCAGTACGTCCCGTCCTACTTTATGGAAGTGAAACATGGCCGGTAAGAGTAGAGGATATTCGTAGGTTACTAGTATTCGATCATAGGTGTCTTCGAAACATTGCTCGTATATCATGGGACCATCGAGTAAGTAACACAGTTGTTAGGAAACGGGTACTAGGTAAGTATGGCAAATCAATTGATGAAGTAGTGAAACTTCATCAGTTGAGATGGCTGGGACACGTGCTACGTATGCCCAACAACCGACTGCCTCGACGTGCGATGTTCAGTGGTATAGGAGTAGATTGGAAGAAAGCTAGGGGCGGCCAGACCAAAACATGGCACAAGTCCATGAAGTCACTGACAACTGGTCTGAGTCATGTTGATAGGTATAGACTACCTGGTTGGGGACCGCGAGATGATAGCAACCGATGGTTAGAGACCCTGAATGACATGGCTCAAAATCGTTTGCAATGGCGCAGGTGCATCCACTCTTTGTGTTCTCCCAAATTCTAATCTTCTGAATTCTTCATGTCCCTTTTTTCCTCTTTCCAAATTTATTTCACTGAATTATACTCTTTAAATAACATCTCCAAACTCTAATCTTCCCGATCACTGCTTACACTCTTGCTACCTCTACCACTACGGGATTTGAATCGACAACTGCATCTCTGTGTTAAGGTGGTGTGGCAACTCGAACTGATGTACGTACGTACGAAGTTCTACGTTGCTACTGACTGACGTATGGTCATACTGCTATTTATGGTATTGAAATACTGAACAAAATCCAAAAAGCTGTATTTTTTATGTAGCTTAAGAAATAATTCATGAAATCATAAGACTAAATATTCTTTCCAAAATATCTATTACATGTGATGAGACCATTAAATAAATAATATTGGTTAAATTTCGAAAACAGAAAAATCTTCAGTAAATTCATAAGTTCATTTTGATCTTCGTCATTGTGAATGTATATTGAATTTATTCGAATAAATGGTCTATATATATATATATATATATATATATATATATATATATATATATATATATATATATATATATATATATATATATATATATATATATATATATATATTAGAGGTTAAAAGTTCGTAAGCCTCTTATTGGCTGACAGGTTGAAACAAGTTGTCATTAACCAAAGCACAATAGGGGGCTTGAATGCTTTTTTGAGAGTTGTCAGTATGTGAGATTAGATCAATGAATATAAGAACGTCAGAGAAATTTCAACTTGTAAACAATTTTATTCACCGAATATTACCGCCTGAAGAACCATGGGGAACCGGAGAAAAATCATTAATAAGCTCTATTATTTTATTTTGAGATCTCGTTAAAAAGTCATACACGATTGAAATCTGTATGTCCAATTTTCGCACTGAGGAGGACTCTCCTCATATATCTACTGATCTGTATTTTTCAACTCCGAATTTTTGATATAGTGCAACTGCTAGTCAATGTCATCAATTAATTTAAACACTGAACGACCTAGTTGAATAAATCGTTATCTCATGCCACTTAATATACAAAAAGAATAACGCTTTCATTAGAACTGATGTTATGAAACGAGTATTTAAGAAATCGTAACTTTTGGAATTCTATTTTACAGATCATCATTTTTTATGTCTATATTTGTGTAATTATGAGGTATATGGATCACCGTATTTCTATATTCTTTGTGCTGTATGCATTCATTAGACTCCTTAGCTGTAGCAACACTGTACTGCTTCTTGACCATTATTAGCTAATTGTTTACCCTCTTACGATTCTCTACTACTTATGGATTTATTATGTATAAATCATGATTTTATATTTAGGATGCTGTTGTCCGATAATTCATCCGAATACATACATGAGTGTTTAAGCTAAAAGGAACTACTGTACAATATGGAGCCCTCAAATGTCCTGGTATGTTCGAAGTTAAGAACAGTCAGCTCTCCTTCTCGAAATGCTCTCACATGGCCACGCGTATACAGCCACTGTCATAGAAGTCCTATTCACTGCCTTCTCAAAGCGGAGGTGTTGTTTACGAAATTGAGAGGAAAAAAGTGAATGTCAGGCGCCTTAACTGGGTTGGTGAACACGGACAGTCCACCTGGGGGAGTTGGGAAACCCTGATTCCAAACCAATGGTGCACATGGGCTACAATATCCTGAACGAACAAATTGCATATGAAACTATTGTTGGTCACTGGTTGCTATGGGACTGCATCTGCTTGCATTGTCCTACTGCCTTCTGGATCAGACCTTTAGGTCAAAGGCTCCGGGTGTGGCACCTTAAGAAAAACACGTGCGTCAGTTTGGGCACCCAGGCAGTATCATAGACCACACATAAATCAAGTGACTTGTATGGCGCATATGTATTCGGTGCCCCTTTGTACCAATATTTCTGTGTTCAGATAATTAAATAATAAAGTACAATATGGACTGGACACTGGGTTGGTAGTTGCTCGAAAACCAATAGGTGTTAAGCTCTCAGTTGTTGTTTACTGGTCATTGGGTCATTGATAAAACAACTCATCGATCCCACAGGCATACACTGAATGTAATTTAATCCATGATTGGACTAGAAAACACAACTGTTCTCATGATGACGGCCTCATCACACAGGCCTCACTAATACTACTAAATAATCTGGGTGTTTTTGGAAGATATAAAAAAAACCTACATTGATTCTCACAGATATCATTGTTATTCTGTTTTCGAAACAATTGTTTTACATCAGCTGCTAATAATCGTTTAATAGAGTATGCTCCACCAGGTTGACCAGCTAAAAATGCTGCTAAACTATGAGACAATATACGCTGTAGCCGACGAATTTTTCGTTGATTATCATTTTCTTTAGGAGAACAATATTTTGTTGATATATTAGTTGTTGTATTGCCATTATCACAACCGTTACCACTATCACCAGTGAGTGTTTGATCACGACGACGTAAACATTCTAAAATATGTGAACATTAATAATAAATGGACAAATAAATGGGTAAAAAACAGTTAAAATCTGATAAAGTTAACATTCCTACTACATGATACTAAACCATGTATTGATAAACTTTGTATTTTTTCCATTAAGAAATAATGTTAGTGATAAAGTGGTGAACTATTCAGTTAATCAAGACCAGCATTTTAACGAAAAAACATTGATATACTTGAACAAAATCAGACAGATCATAAACTATCTCAGCATCGGATGGTAAGTACACTGTAATGAATCAATAAACTATTCATCTGATCAAGGTTGCCTTCTACATTTTCTTTTAATTTATAAACCCACAAATAAATATGCATGAGCTGTAAACAACTTTTTTCATTATTGTCATTACAACTTTTCACATAGTCTTGATCTTCCTATTTTGCACAGGTGATCGGTCAAACATTAGGTTCATGACAATGACTAAATCAGACTACAAACACAACACTTTTGAAAATCGACCTTCAATCCTAAACAAATGCTACCGGAGTTTAGCATTCATAACATAATCTACTTATAGAATACGAGAAGTGCTATGAAGACAGTAATGATTACCTATACACAGTCATCGAATATTTTTATTTCGGAACGCTTAAATTTTCGAAAAACAAAGCAAAGATAAAATCATCGAAAACCTGTACAACTGATATATTTTATGACGATACCAAAGGCAATATTGATCACAGTAATATACCATAACTTTTTCCATACATAGGCTGACTCCGTTTATTATGTCAGTTAGTGGAACTAAAAAGATTCAGCTAAATAAACATTTATGGATCGTGATCATTTATCATACTTTTGATGCACTAAATAAATTCAACTTCATAGGAAAAAACCAATACATCAATCAATGGTAGGATGTTGTACAATTCATTAACTCAATGTTTTATGAAGAAAATAAATGACTTACCAGATATATATATATATATATATATATATATATATATATATATATATATATATATATATATATATATATATATATAAATTGGATACACACTTCAAGTGCGAAGGGTAATAACGTAAAGAGTGTTTGCTGTCTAAAATGAGGTAGACAGAGAGAAGCTAGTTATATGGTAATTTTACATTGGTTCTCAAGAAAACTAGACTCCATCCAGCAGGTTGTTTAGAAACTAGACAGCACAACAGAGTGGTACATGCTATTAATGCTGACAGATATAAGTAGCATACATCATAAACCCTGTGGCGAAACCACATAGGTACCAAGAACCCTGGTGGACAAGCTAACAGTATGAAAGTAAGATGCGATAATAGTCACATTTCTGTCTAGAAGAATGCAGATATTTTATATCAAGCATTCTTATAAGTTTGATCATTTAAACTATGAATGATCATTATCAATATTATCACAGCTTGACCCTATATAATCAACTAATCTATAAAAAAATAATCATTCCTTACAATCAACTGGAAATTAAACATTGTAAATCAAATAATGAAGTATTACGTTAATAACGTAAAATGCAAAATTTAAGGTCGAATATAAGTAGAATATAAACAATAAGAATTATTATTCATCCATAACTTGAATACAACTTCTTAAGGTCACCAAAAAGACAACTAATAAAGCATCTTACGTATGCTCTACCTCTTTGTAACACGCTGGTATTAATGTAGCTGATTGACTCAGTAATATCGAAACATCCCTACAGTCAGTTAGACAAAGCTGACAAAAAATATCAGGTAGTCATGATCCATAAATTAATTTTCACATCATCCAACCTTATATAGAAGAAACTAATTTGATATCTCCTCTATAGTTCATTTTCTGACTACTAATTTCCAGTTTGACTATCCTGGTCTAAAATAGATTGAATATAGTATCACTAGCCAGTAAATATTAGTTGAAGCCTCTAGTTTTATATATACAACTAGGTGTTGATGAAATTCATCATTCTTGTAGGTGACAGACTACATTTTACCATTATGATTGCTAATATTACAATTAACCGAAATTCAAAGTAATTCATGTTGATTTATTACGAAATCTCTAAACTGAATTGATTGTTATAAATACCTGCAAGTTCATATTCCATAAGACATTGCGTTGTTGAACGTAACCAAATAGTAGTAGCTACAGCACGTTGTGCAGCTTCAACATCCAATAATCGTACTTCTAACCATGAATCGAAAACAATCCTGTCATTGTTAAATTAGAAATTTGTTATGTTATAAGTTGTTAGTTTTATTTAATTGACTAAAATAAGAGATAAAATCAAATCGCTTTTGAGTACAGGAACACTTGATGGTGAACGAGTATCTTCACTCATTGATTGCAAACACCTAAATGAAATCATCAGGGTTTAAATAAACATTCAATGACTTTAGGAATTGGTGTGCAATGTTTTATTGTGGTCATGAATACTACACTTAACACTGAATATGATGGTAACCGATGCCTCGATACATGTTAAACATAACCCACAATTAGCTACAACAAACACTGCCGAAATCACCAAACAAACCCTAACTTGGAACACTCAAGGCAAAGTGAGAAGAGATAGACCAAGGGAATACATTGTATCGAGAATCGGGAGCACAGATCATGGCAATGAAGAACTATTTTGCCCTAGTATGTGACCCCCCAGAAGTGAGCATTCATGACCCCCACGCGGGAATCGAACACAGGTCCTTCGATGTCGCGCGCGAAAGCTCAACTTTTAGATCGATAAACTAGAAACCAGTGACTACATTGTCTAAATTCAGTCAATCCACGGTATTGAGCGAATATCTTCCATCGTCTGCAGTGGGTGACTGCCTCACACCCGACACGGTTTAGCTCCCACTGGTCACGGCCTCTCAGTAGATCTCCAGAAATTTCATCTAGAAGCTAGTCACTAATGAGCATATGACAATCTGCACAACCAATTACTAAGAGTAGACAGCATTTGGGAACAACTGGGATGGAGAGCCCAGGGCAAAGTAGGTTGAAGATTCCTGGTCAGCAGCGTATACTCCACGAGGAGTAACAGACGTAATTAATAGCTCACAATTACAAACTTATTGAGTAAATTACACGATTTGCCTGACACTGTGTTTAAGCATGATATTGTTCAACAACAACTTCTAAAACACACTTCTTAAGATCAAAGTCAAGTTCATTCATTATTCACGAATATACTGAGCTTAGACAGTGCAATTTATTACATCGACTTAATTTGGAGTCAATCATACTATGAATCGGTAAAATGATTTTTTTTGTGTGTTTTATAACAAATAAAATGGGATGCTGTAGCTGAATACAATACCACTGAAGTTTCCAATTCCAGTAGATATTGTATAAGTAGACACACACCAATGCTGTGTTAATAATTGAAAACTTTATACTATTTACTTCAGTATCAAAACCTTCATAAAATGATTTAGGTCCAAAGTGTACAATAACAATGTATATTAAATTATAGAGTTACATTTATACACACAACATTAATTGTTACAAACAAAATGTCAGATTACCTAAAGAATATTTGACATAACCTGACCTAAGAGACTATACAACATCAGTAAAGAGATTAGATAAAATATAGTTATACAATATTCATTTCGTAAATTATTCAGTTTTCATTCTTATTACAATAAAACATTGAGAATTTTAGTAATACATCAAACAACCAGTTGAAAATAATACCCTTATCAAGTTTTGAGTAGAATATTTACAGTACAATTACATTTTAGGAAAATCATTAGTAGCCAACTCTTCCGGTTAGCTTTTCGGTGTAGAGTAAAATAATTAACTTTATGCGCAAATCTTTCTAGATCACATGATGAAAATTTAAGTACAAAAGAAAAAAAAGAATCGAAACATAAACTTAGTGTGTCCACTTATGGATATATATATATATATATATATATATATATATATATATATATATATATATATATATATATATATATATATATATATATATATATATATATATATATATATATAGTCAGATGGAACTAACCATAAGTACATTATTGATTAACAAATCCACCAATCAATCAGTGTTTGCATTGGAACTATCGCTGAAGGAATGGATAAAAATCTACGGATAACTCCTAATAAGAATTCAGTACTAGCTCAGCACATCATTTATTCGTAAACTCACAGAAACATAAATGTTAAACTGAGCAACGCGATTAAAAGAAGATTTTAATGTTGCTATTGAGCTTAATAATTTAGACTAGTCAGTTGGAAGCATTTTAACAATGACACTAAGTTATTTTATTGATAAACATCGATGACAGATGAAAGTAACCTCTGACTTAACCTATTAACCTACTGTTTACGTAGGATATTCTTTCAAAAGAATGTGGAAATTAAAGTAAATGAAACAAATAAAATAGTATTGAGGTTTGGTACTTTAAAGGATGACTATACTATGTATTATTTTCTTTGAAATGTTAACTGAAAAGGTCATGCTGATTTGAAACTTACCAAAGCATAAATTACATCCACTTCAAGTTATTCACATATTACCGTTATGATTCATGAAGAGTGAGTAGTAACCCTAATGATGACTAGAATCATTCTAGGTAATGAAACAAAGAAAAGGTTTTTTCTTATCTAGAGCTAAATTCTTTTTAACTGACCTCTTTATAACTTCATCTATGTTTAGGTTAATCTTAAACGCAAATGAGATAACTTTTTGATAACAATCAGACGTATACATTAACTGAATGGTTAATAACTCTTCTTTTCTTATTTTTGTGATGATATTATTCAAATATCCTAGTGGAATATCATAATCATCAATTTAAACTCTGATCAATTTCCAATACAGTATATAAATATCATTACTCAATATCATTGATGAATAAGCATGTGAAAACTTTCGTCTAAATCTGATAGCATAATTTCAGTGTTTGGGCGCCGAGTTGATGTGAGACATTAAGGAGGAGGAATGTATTTAGACGACCTATTTAGAATACATTTAACCGAAAACCCATCTATTTATTTATATTCGATAATTTTGACATTTGATTATATTTCCTTGAGAAAGCTTGGGACAATGCTATGTGAAACATTGGGTTTACTTCAAATTCATTCACTGAGATTTTACTAATACATTATTCCTTTTCTCTAATGATAAACTATTGTTCATTTCTAAAATTTACAAGATATTACACAAATATTTAATTGTCTTCATTTCACGAATAGTGATTTTCGAACTTATTAAAATGACTTCTATTTAACTCGTCTTGCATTTCTATGCATATTCAATGTAAATATGATTGCCTAAATTGACTGCTTTTCTGGCTGTGTATTTGTTATTAGATGTATAAAATGAGTTTTATTATTACTATTACTCTGATAGATTTCGTTATCACTGTGTTAATCTACTTATTATTATTATTATTATTATTATTATTATTATTATTATTATTATTATTATTATTATTATTATTATTATTATTATTATTGAAGTTTATAATTGTGACTACGCGTTCATCATTATTGTAAACAGTAAAGAAAGCTCATATGACTAGAGAGAGAGAGGAATATGATTGATAAACAACATTTGTTCACATGATTACTTTTTGTTTTGCTTTAAGACTGCATAATAAACAAACAATCACCCAAAAACATTAGTTGCATTAAGTGATATCTGATTTATCGTTAATATTATTTGATTGGTACATAAATAAGGGATAGTAACTGGGGTAAATGTTACTGAATTAAACGTTCTCATGTGTACGTATGAAAATGACAAAAATACTTTTATTACAATTCTTTACCGATCAAATAGTATTGTATTATTATGTATTATACTAGTATGAAAACACCTTTGTCTTAAATATATACACTTCCATACACATGTTATTTAACTCATAACGTAAAAAATTTGTAGTATACACTATGAGTGATTAATCTGACCGTTTATAATTTTCGTTACTAGATAAGTTGTGATAAAAAATTATTTTCCTTTTGGGTAGTTGAAATTAAATTCTAGTTGGTTGTTTCTACAGTTTATATCTTCCCCATCTATGAACTTAGGTAAAGCTACATTACAGCAACATCGACATTGAGAGAAACAGAAAGTGTTATGCCCCTTTATTGGTTAATGAGTACACAGATAATTAAATCCAAAAATCTGTCTCCGAAAAAGCTGTGAAACTTCAGTGTATGTGATAGTTTTTCATTTTATAGGTTTTCGAAGGTTTATAAACAGATTTGAAGTTTCTAGGGTTGAATTACTTTCATATTACACAAGACAATACTTAAAATTTAGAACGTGATTCGACGACCACTAAGTCACATATCTAAGTTCACTAACTCGAAAACCATAGAGTTCACAGCTCAATAATGATTTAGAAATAGAAGTTAAACGCGCGCCAAGTTTTCAAGCTTACGGTGATATCAACTATATAGAAATACACGACTGGACAGTATTAGCGTAAATTACAAACAGTCTCTTTTGAACGGTAACTGATTGTAATCCAGTATATAACTATAAGTAAATGTTTAATACAATTTTCAACCAATGAGTGCAGTTGAAACAGTTAGTTTGCGATATTAAGACATAGATTTGGAATGAATTTAGTCTCTCCAATGAATACATAAACTAAAGTCATAAAAATATTGTTTTATAAAACTTAGGATTAGTCATTTCTGTTCCCTTCAAAATACTTTCAATTTGTGCAACAAACTTATCTCGTCTTCATTCGACACCAAATGCCCTGGCACGGTCGAAGTTAAGAAGAGTCAGCTCTCCTTCTCGAAATGCTCTCACATGGCCACGCGTATACAGCCACTGTCAGAGAAGTCCTATTCACTACCTTCTCACAGCGGAGGTGTTGTTTACGAAATTGAGAGGAAAAACAGTGAATGTCAGGCGCTTTAACCGGGTTGGTGAACACGGACAGTTCACCTGGGGGAGTTGGAAAGGTTTTCAATGGTGGTCTAGCTTCAACTGACTCATGATTTCAATCTGTGAAATTCCTAAAATCTCCACAAAACCCATTCTGATAATATGAACCTATTGTTGGTTATTGGCTGCCATGGGACTGCATCTGCTCACGTTGCTCTACTACCTTTTGGATCAGACCTTTAGTTCGAATGCTCCGGGTGTGGCCCCTTAAGAAAATCCCGTGCTTCGGTTTAGGCACCCGGGCAGTATCATAGACCACACACAAATCAAGCGACTTGTGTGGCGCATATGTATTCGGTGTCCCTTTGTACCACTGCTTGTGTTTGAATAAATAAATAAAATACATCATTCACATTGTTTAAAACGTTCTTGTAGGTCTATATATTGATGCCCAGTAAGGAAATAAATTATTTTGAATCGTATTTCAGAAGGGATATATCACTTTCATACACTCCAAATAATTCAAAGAACTGATGTTAGGTGGTTGGAGGTGTTGTGGCGGGCAGTATCAAAAATGTGATACTGATACAACTGACTGCATAAGTGAGAAAGCGTATTGGGCTACCGAATAAAATGCACAAATACTCATTTATGTATATACCACTTCAATCCTTAAGAAACTGATCCACTTTTTAGCCAATGAAATGCACTTGTCCTTCGGGTCACTTCTCATTGTCATCAACTGACCTTCTCATTAGGCTACTTCTGATTGGCTCACCATATCAGGAGATAATTAGCAGTATGTGCAATTTCGACAGAAATGATAATACCTGTGGGATTCAGGAAAAACCTGTCACACAGTATCGCAGACAGGAATACTATCACTAAACTATTCGAGCTGCGATTGGTCTAAAGGACTTAAACATTCATACTGATCAATCACTATGTAGTACCAACGACACGTTTATCTAGTCCCCCAGCTGCAATCGAATTTGACCTATTGAGTTGCAATATGACCACTAGTCTGAGTAGCAGATAGCAAGAGTAATAACTTATATATATAACTGCTTACAATCATTAGGAATTATTAATAATATCAATACCCATATGAAAAAGGCCAACCAACCGTATGGTCAGAAGTCGGCCGAACAAGACAGTCAAACTGAATACAAGGAACAATGAGACCAACCAACCACAAACAACGCCATCAGAATAAACTGACTTAACACTTGTAGGATAAGTACGTAAAGTAGATGTTGTCAAGATTAAAAATTAAAGTTTCATAATCGAATCGTCTAGCTTAGATAATTTAACAACACCAAAAGTATACAGTCAAAGTGCAAATCTCCATCATTTTAGTGTTACTAATAATGACAATAAGATATGAAAATGTTTACAATCGTTACAAACCTTGAAATGTCAGCATTTGTATCCACTTCCCGACAGTATAATAACAAAGTCGGTAATGCTGGGACCCGTATTGTATTTACCAGAAAAGGTTTAGTTGTTTCCATTAAATCCCTAAAAATAGTGATAATAATCGAAAAAAAGTTATCAATCAATAAATGGAAAATCAATTGGTCATTTCAAAGTGGCAAATTTAATAGGTTCAAAGATCAAATAAATTTTTTCAGGAAACCTTGAATAGTCTTATTTCGATCAACTAGACAGTCAAACGCCCTGAAACGTGAATTACATACGATCTGATATAATCATGTATAATGTACGCACCAATATGATTGTAACAAATATGTGATCAAAGATCGTTTAAGCTAAACAACAATCAAACACGGTAGTTCACATATGAAACACGAAAATAAGCAGGAGGAATGCATATTTATTGCGGGAAGTTACATGATACATATGCGTAGTCTTTAATCGCTAGTTTGTATCTTTCAGTGTGTTCTGCCGTCCGAACCATCTTCTCGTTTGGTCTCCAAGTGTTCTGCCAACGCTGTAATTTTTATGTATTGAAACTCTTCATTCTGTCTGACAATTGTTACAACTTCAATGCCGCGTTCCGCTACATAATACTTACAAACATACTTGTGAGTAGCATCAACTACATACAAATATAAGAGGATATGTTTAATAGTTAGCTACTTAGTGATTTATAGCAATTGTACCTGTTTCGGTCGACGGAATTGAAGTAGAATCAAAGTTGATTGATTATGGTAATGTTGAACATTTCACAATAATATCACTAATGTAAATTTAGGCCACTTTTCAGCTGATTAGAAAACTTAAAATACAAAAAATTCATTTTACTTAACATATTTTGTTTTTTTTCTTACTTAAATTTATCAAGGGATCAGTACACATAAAGTAAGACTATTGACAACTGTATCTATAACAAATATGCACGTAGAAAAATGATTCTTATTTTCGAAGATATTATATAAATCATGTAATTGAAAATATGTATTCAAGAAAAGGTTTCCAATTTTGATGAAAAAAAGAATATAAGACGAAATGATTCATGACATTTCAAAAAATAGTTCCTGTTGAAGAAATGACGTAAATCGATCTTACGTAGCAATGAATGTAACTAACTTGGTCATCATATATGAAGTTATATACCTGTTTTCATTAATTTACACATTTTATTAGATATATTGATGTTAATTGGATAAAACTTAATTAAAGAATGTGTGGTAAGGGTTTATTGAAACCACTGAGATATGTTGTAATAGTAGCATTTGCTTTTAAAAATGTTTCATATTTTTAATCTTCACTCATATATTATAAAACAAAACGATATAGAATTCGTGTTTCAATGCAGTGAACATGGCTTAAATTTAATATTATAAAAAATCATCTGAACTGCCCTTGTTATTTTCATTTAGTATTCTTAGTTCGAATCTTCCCATTCATGTTTAGGACTGCACTTGATCAGTCTCTTATTGGCAAATGTGCATCCTATGCGGATTGCCTCTGTATTGCCTAGTTACAAGCTTTATAAACAAACGTGGATGTTCGCTAGCAGCGAAATACAGGATGCGCGTTTCGTCCTATTCGGGACTCATCAGCTGGATGTACCTACATCCGAGTTGATGTTCACCCCGAGACCCGAACCCAGTGTCATTCGCTTCAAACACCATCGCGTTATCCACTTGGATACAGAGTCTCGATAGCCAGTAGCTTGTGAAATGGAGTAAAGTTTAAATCCATTTTGTCCTTGTTACTATTGAATTTATGTAATTTAATCAGCACAAAATATAACATATTTTCAAGTTATTGTTTAATCTATTCATGCATTTAAAAAATAAGTGAATGTTTAAAGTGGTTAAATTTCCAATCAGTACACTACATGTTTGAATTCTACGTTGGCCATTGTAGATTAGACAACCAGACAATATTATTACTTCATACATAAACTGTACAGCTTAAAATTGATTACATAAACCGATATTCCTTTGTAAAAAGTTTCATTAACCAATAACATCGTTCAACTTGTACATTAAGAAAGAAACATAGCTTTGACAATGATTTCAGAGCAGTCAATAACCTATTTAGATAATCTAGATTGTACTTTTTTTTAAAAACTATTAAAAATTTTGGCAAATAGAGTGAACATCAATTAAAATAGTTTTAATATCAGAAGGGTGACGTTAGTAATTTCAATTGTTGAGATCATGAGTCAGTTGAAGCTAGACCACCATGGAAAACCTGGAAGCACTGGACGACCTATCATGGGACTCCTCAGCAGTGCGCATCCACGATCCCACCTCGCAGGATTCGAACCCAGGGTCTACTGATCTCGCGTGTGAGCACTTAACCACTGAGCCGGCATCCAACGGTGTTAATGTCTAACTTAAACTAATCCACGAAATTGAGAGACACATCCACCATTGTTATCAGTGAGTTACTATCTCACAAATGACCCGGTTGAACTCCACTGGTCGTGGATACGTACTGCTGAGTAGTCCCACAATAGAACGAAACGGCCGTCCAGTGCTTCTAGGTTTTCCATGGTGGTCTAGCTTCAATTGACTCATGATCTCAACAATTAAAATAGTTTTGTATACTTTATATACTGTAGTTATCTGGGTGAGGCTAAATTTCCCTCCCATTTGCAATTTTAACCTTTCACCTGGCAACTAACCAAAATCAAGCGTCGCTTCTTATTTACACTATTTTAATCTATTATGGAAGGCGTATTTCGTTATCTGTTGTTTTTGTTAGCTTACATAAAAAAAGTAGTTTACTATGACGAAAATACCACTTCAACATGCTACGGACATGCCAACTGTAGCGTAGTCAGTCAGGATGGGAGAAAAATTACGACATGGCAAAAGCCATACCTCCAAATAAATCTATGATAGAAATGATTCAAAAATGTTTACTATTAAGTGAATATATAAACGAAAACGTAATCGTAATCACAGACTACGATACAATTGGATAACTTGACGAAGTGAAGTTCGTCGCCAGCTACTCATCTATATTCGGAAACATATCAAAATTGGAAGAATAAAGTATAATTCTATCACATGAATAATTATTTAAGACATTGAAATATTATGAAAATTGGTCGTGTATTGTCATTTACGTTTAACTATAATTAATTTGGTCAGTTTGTTATTGTCTATGTGTGTATACATAATGCATGCCAACTTCTAAGAATTCTACTATCATCTCATCATTAATTACAATATATTAAATTGATAAGAATAAGAATTTTATATACATTTTTTTATGTGTGCAGATTTATGATTATTTCTGTTTATGTAGAAACATAAAGATAACATGAATGTTTAGTTAAACAGACATTTTCTATGAGATGACAAAGTTAACATATTTTAACCTTTCCTCACCTATTTGTATAAATCTATTTTATCTAATTGATTTAGATAGTTGATTATGTTTGTTTTCTTTTCTTCTTCTTTAGTTTAACGGATGATATACTTAACATTTTTTTCAATTATATTTACTTTTAAAACAAAATTACTCCGTGATAATCTTATCAATAGAACGTGAGAGAAAATGGTAATCTTTGTATAAATCACTGCTAGTTTGAAGAAATATTCATTTTTAGCATTTAACTATTAGGATATTCTATTTATCCATATTGGGACCCATTGAACATGATAATTATATGATGAGTTTAGTGAAAATCACCTAACTCCTTATTATAAAGAACTATGTATTCAGTACATCTCGAAGTCAAGCACCTTAATACATAGTTGAACATCAAGAACAATCAACTCAATATCACATAAAACAAAAAAACTTGAGTAACAAATGTAATCAAATATGAGAATCTAGAACCATGCAAGAATATGATGATCACTAACTGTACTATTATTATTATTATTACTATAGTAATTTTTGGCTAGAATTCATGTCATTGATACTAACCTACATGTTCATTGGACCGGGCTTTAAACGGCCTGATTAGAATTGATTTTTTCTTTCTACAAAAATCGATGACATACAATTTTAATATTAGCAGGTCAACAAAATTCAACCACAGACTTTCTCTCTTGTTTTTTTTATTAATAGCACACATACATACACACACAAAGGTTTATGTGTACATAAAATTTATAAAGACACATGAACTATCAATAATAAAGTACTAGTGGATAGACAGACCAATACATATGTGTCTTTTTTGTTGTTGTTGTTGTTGAATGAAAACCTGTCAGGATATTGAATTATTCTGTAAAGAAAATAAGAGAGAGATAGGCAGAGACTCGACGTTCATTTGTTGACTCCGCCCTAATAACATCTCCGATTTTTATAGACCAAAAAGTTTCGAAATAACAACAATCGATTAACCGATCGATCGATTGTAAAACATGTAGAAGGTTCAACAAACAATTCTTTATACTAATTTGATAAATACTGTATGTATGTATATATGTTAATTACAACAATCATAGATTGTTTTATTCAATTCATGAAACGGTCCGTAATTAATTTTTACAATCCAATAATCTAATAGTCATGTTTCACAAACAATGGTAGATTCAAAAAGTATAATAAACCGAAGGATATATGTCTGTTTTGCTTAGTTATGTTTAGCTAAGTTATAGAATATTAAAAATCTTCACATAAACAAAAAAAGAATTATAGGAAACAAAAGTTTTGGCATTTACAAACTACTTATATAACTTTCATGAAAATAGATTGTAAATAGAACACTATCAATAATGTTTAGTTATTTTTACTGATTTAAAGCGAACAAATGATTTTATATTAGTTTACTATAAAAATTCTGTTTCAATTTATTAAGTTGAGTAAAGGATAGAATTCACATCATTCTATAAGTTTAATATAGATTGACTATAGCTCTTTAAAATATAAAAATTTACTTCAACTAAAAATAATCTAAGCTAGACTACTATTGAAAACATGGAACTGGTGGTCTAGTTTAGATTGACTCATGAATTTAACTATTATAAATTATTACAATCTCTACAATGCCTCATTCTGATCATTCTAAATTCCTTAGTTTTTAACTTTTTAATGATACTTCTATATGAAACATAAATTTGTAGAAGTTCGATCTGATAAAATATGTTAATCATTGTAGATTCTAGGAATTCATGCTGAAAATATGATATAAACGCTGAAAAAACATGGTAAATTCCCCTTTGAAAACTGTACACTTTCATCAATAAACAAATACAACAAAACAAATATGATACATAGATAATCCTTATATACATTGTATATAGAGTACACGTAAACATCAACTATGTTGAACTCAGGTTATTATCACACACAAAAAAAGCTAACAAAGAAATTGTGTGAAAAGTGAAACTATTATTTTAGTGTAATATTATTCATAGTAAGAATATGAATGAAAACACCAGTAAGACTACTTATTTACTTATGTGTAAATATCGTAATAATTACGAAATTTATTCACAATTCTTATTTCTAAAATCTAAAAGGACTTCAGTTATCAGATACATTTGCATTCTAGATAAACAATCGCCAAATTGAAATTTAAGAGCCTCATTTAAAAATTACCTAATATACGTGGAGGAGTATTTAAACATAATATTCAGTGATGAAAGCTAACTGTTTGAATCTGGACATAAATAACCTTCGGTTTCAATATATGAGATTTGGAAAACTTTTATTATACATCATCTAAATAACATATATCCATCTATAAAGACAATTAATGATGCAAAGTACATTTAGAATTAACGTCACATAAAAGGTGAGTACACATGAATGACTTTTATTCGAATGTTCAAATTTTGACTACAGACGATATGAAAATAAAATTTTAAAAATCTAATAAAGGATCGCGTAACCCTGAGCAGATATTTACTTATCGACAGGTTAATATGTTCAAAAGTGTTGAATACTCAGTTTAATTGATATCACGGATCTACAGAGCTGAAAATTAACAAAATAGAATTATACTACTAAATGTAATTCAGTAGGTCGATTATTATCAGTGAGTATAGTTAGCCAGATTTCATGTGACTTTTGAAATGTTTCAAGGTGGCCTTCAAGGTTCTAATCAAGTTCACAGTGGCGTATCCACAAATCCCAACAGTCAGTATTTGGGACGATAATAACAACGAAAAAATCAACCTAAAGTTAACTTTCTATACATAGAATGCTAATTATTGTTACGCGAAAAACAAAGGTATTATAAGTGTTGCTTATAAGCTATAATCGTTTAGATATCCCATTCACAAGAATGCATTTATTAGAACTAAAGTAGAAGAAATAATAACGGAAAGGAAGTCGAGTATAAAGGTGAATGAAAATATTTTAGCAAGCGTATCCTTGTAAAACAGTGAACGAGGAATAAGTACTTCCAAAAAACATGAATATCAGAGAAATATTGTAGAATTCTTAAATAGTATATAAAATTCTTGCACTAATTACCAAACAAAATAAATCGAAGCTCTTTTATCAATGTAACCAGCAATTTGAGAGTGTAAGTCATAAAATAAGATGAAATATTGATTTTGATAAGGGATAATGATCATGTGATATTGTGGATCGACTAAAGTTGGAAACGTAAACCACTTAGATACCAGCTCAGTTACCCAAAGATATAGTGCTTACCACGAGCCTTGAAGGCTTTAGGGTGGATTCATTGTAAGATTTGGGATTCATATCGTTGAGTAATTCCTAACTAGGATAAAACACCTGCCTAGTACTTCTCGAGTTTCAAAGGTTTTCCAATTAAAGGCAATCTGCTATGTAAACTTTCATGTTGCTTATGAATGATCTGTTTACAAATTAACTTGTCGTAATGACTGGTGCAAAATGCTGATACTGCTAATGATATGACTATTTGTGGTATGACTGCAGAAAAACTGTCACTTGCTACTCGTTACAATAGAACTTAATTCCAGATAAGATTTACTCAGAAAAAACAAACTATGTATAAATAATGGAAGACGTTAATAGAATAACTGATCACCATTATTGAGGTTGGTGTGAATTGTTTAAAAAATCCCTGATGATAATATTAATGCAAGTGATAGTCATTATATTTTAAAATTTTATCATTAAAAACAACTATCAACTTACAGATACATAAGTAATTGATGATCGTATGCAAAGCCAGACGGTAAAACATCAAGAATACTTTCTTCTTCTGTTTGTTCACCATCGAAATCATCATCTCTTTTTTGTTTCAAATTTTTATTTGGTAATGATGTTTGTGATTTTTGTATCTTTGACAGGTTCGGACGATTATTATTCCGTTTTTTTGAAGTACGCTCAGGAAATAAAACATCTGGTTTTCTAACGAATACATCATTTGGATGAAGTGTAACAAAACCTTTATTCTAAAATAGAATAGAAAAAATAGTTAAATTATCGACGAGGAATATTTGTAGCATAGTTTGGTTATTTTGAAGGTGTTGTGTTCTTTGAGCTGGACGGTTTAACTGTGAAGCTCTCAATGTCTTTCTGGATGACATAATCAACATACACTTCAATAAGAAGTAAGTGATTAGAACTTAACCACAAATGACTAAAAGTTTGTTCTGTTGACCTGGACAAATTATAATAGCTCACTTCTTATTGAAGTATACGTTGATAATATTGTCTATAAAGATAATACAAGCTTCACCTAGTTCAAATAACACAAGAACTTCAAAATTATGAGACCACAAAACAAAATATATCATTTTATGAAAAAGAATAGTGGGGAAATTTTCGACATGTTTAACTTTTAACTCACAAACATGAAAAATACCAGGTAGATATATTATTCCTTAAAAACAGTAACACATCTAAGTGTTAGTAACAGAAAAATATTTATTAACTAATGTTTTTCTTCAGTTTAGTATGAACTTGACGTAATCAATTGAGTTAATCAGTCATAAACAACGTAAGATACAAGACATAGATATGGATCGGTCTAGGTAGATTTACCAAATAAGCATAGAGACACTAAATTAAAATGACAAGTTCGAAAGGTATGAAAATGATACCTAAAAGGATTAAAAATAAAGAATACAGTTCTAAATGAAAGCATGAATTCAGGCGATATAAAGTATCGAATCTTATTGAGACTGAAAATCTATGATAGTATAAAGAATAGGTGTATCTGATCCACAATGATTTATCTCGATTCCCATCATCCAAGGCTTCCAATCACTTTCAGGACGCCAAATAGGCAGTTACGGGGCTATTGATAAAGTAAAGATCAACAACCACTTTGCTTCTAACTCCACTATCAGTCAGTAGGTGGTCCTAACAAATATGAACAATATTTCGATGATATCTATGAGTTAAATATACCATACTGTTGCACGATACACCAGGCTTTTGATAAGTAGAAGGGGTGTATTTTTTAAATCACATTAGAATGACCTTTTAAACCCATGTCGAGATTTTGTCATTTACACCAAATAATCTATGAACCACAGAGGTTTGCATCATATCAAATACAAGGCCACACGATGATCAAAACTAAATCATATTATTCTGATTCATATTATTATAACCGGAAAGTATTAGACCATAACTCACCATGATTTATGAATACCAATGAATACATAACTCTACCTGGAGCTTCTTTGTGGCTACTGCCGGCCCCAAGCCCGGATAAAGGAGGAGGGTTGGGCATGGGGATAGCGACCCCACTCCGTAGAAAACTAACTAAAAAATAATTCAAACCATTTAAACTGTGCCCTGGAAGTTAGGTCTTCATTCAGAAGAGTTATGGGGCTAATGCTCCTTCTGACAACCAGAGCAACCATTAATTTAGGTACATAGAATGTTCGTACAATGTAGGAGACCGAGAAGACAGACATGAGAAAAAAGAACAACAATTCGACAGAATTAGAAAGTAAGGCCCAGGACAGAGTGGGTTGGGGAATGCTGGTCATCGGCCTATGGTCCATTAGGAGTAACAGGTGTATGTGTGTGTGTCAGTGTAAGTGTAAGTGTAAGTAAGTAAGCAAGCAAGTAAGTAAGTAAGTAAGTAAGTAAGTAAGTAAGTAAGTAAGTAAGTAAGTAAGTAAGTAAGTAAGTAAGTAAGTAAGTAAGCAAGTAAGTAAGTAAGTACTTAAGTAAGTAAATGTATACATAACTAGGACAGTTTTACGTAATTTTTAACTGAGTAACCGACTTGTAGTTAATTAACTATTATCGATAGAAAAATTCTCTTCTGCTTTCTCCTATCAAAATTCATCTACTCTAATTTTGTATTTTTGTCGCAATCAATATTTATCTTGACAATCAGTAAGCGTATTTACTCAATTACTCCTGTTATCCCTTGTGGTGGGACATAGGCCGCCCACCAGTAAGCGTAGTCTTAGTATAATCCTATATAATTGCTGCTTCAAAAGACTTAAAGCGTCCAAAACACCAACAACTTAAACCCTCTAGAATAATCTTTAACATGCAAGGGAAAACTCAGTCGACTTCTTGACCAGCGTTCAAGAATCAAATATGATTGAGTGTTTTTTTATAAATTGACATTTCCGCTATTTCGTTAAACATTTCTCGTTACTTAGATTAATTATCTTAAAGGGATATATATATACTACAATGTCAACCAAGTGGTATTCTTCAGATGATATTCATGAACTAAAAACGAACATTCACCTTAGTATGAAATACCATCTCAGCACCAGCTCCAGCTGTACCACCACGATTAGCAACACGATAAGCGTTTGCTGGATCACCAATAGCTAACTGAGGATACATACCACCAGCTAATACAACTTTTAATAGTTGAAGATCAGCTTGTGTCATGTTTTGTTGAATATTAGCTGATTGCGCTAAAGATGATAGATTGTAACATAATACTAGTTCTAAATCTTGTACAGGTACATTTGATGAATTGGTTGATGAACAACGGCTCGACGCATTTAACCATTTACGTAACTTAGATGAATCACTTTCCGTATGATGATCTTCTTTTTCAGATTCCGAGTTATCACTCAACTGTAAAATTAAAGTAAAAAGAGGCAATGTAATGAAAATTATTGAAAAAAAGGAAATGATAGTAATTCAATACAGTAACCATCATGTTGAAATACTATAAGTGAAGTTGAGTTACAGTGTATTATGTACTAAAGATCATCATAATATTTGATAGCTAGACTATGGATTAGAGGATGCAGTTAAAATTTGACCCATTGATTTCACGTTAATGGTCTATGAAAAATGACACTGTCATTGTTGAGACTACTTCGAAAAATAAGTTATTAATATCACGACAATTACGCGCTAAATTGTGTTATGATCATCATTTTCTCCAGTTGATTAATTCGCATTAACTATCCTTTCCATTGGACTATTTTAGTATTTCTATTCTAAGGTCATATAAACGGAATAGAATAAACACCGTTATTATTATAACCGCCTTTTTCTCAAGAAACTAAAGACTCATTTTTAAAGACCCTTATTATTCTTATATTTGCGTTGTTGAATATCGTCAGAAACTTATTATACTGTTATTGTTCATCCGGCATGTAATAGTCAAATTGGATTCAAACCCATATCAGTACTGTCATACGCTCCTCCATATGATATCCGTCAGTGTAAAGGTGTTAACAACTTCATAACTTATAATAAAATTAACCATTTGGATATTGTCAAACAGTAAACAAGATCCTATAGACCATTGATAAACGACATACTACATTCTGATCATTCATATATATAGACGAAGAATGAATTGGACTAACCCTAATATGACTATGAAAGTTGCCTTAAGCCTGACCACTTTCGGATTATTAATTCGGATACATGATTGCAGAACCTGAAGAGAATTTACTGAAAAGGATATCCTTTGTTCATATATTTATGTTTTGTTAAGTTGTGTTTTATTTGGCAACACTATTATGAACAATGAGAACTGAAAGGAAATAACTATATATACTACAAAATTGTACAGTATTCGATATGAAATGCGATCAAACTAGCTAAAGTAAACAAAAACTATGTATTTGAAATGATGATGACTTCTAGCCTAAGGGAATACTAGTAACAGAATACTTTATGAACGAGCTAACGAGAATAGAGAATGCAACTTTTAGGTTCTTATGCGAAATTAAAATATCATGTATAACGAGCAGTAGATATACTTTTAAATACAGAAAATTATTCTGTGCAACAATATGGTAAAAATGATATTTTTCGAAACAGATCAAATGCATCATTCGTTCTCTTTAGATTATATATATAAAAGGTAAATCAAAGCAACCCTTAAATCCTAACCTCAAAATTCTTAATTATGGAACAAACCTAGACGTGATAATACTGAATTTTAAAGAGTTTCTCATATTTTGAGTGAAATATATCGATCTATACAGTTACCCACCATTGTTAAATTATAACTGGTGTCAATTTGTGATGCAAACTATAAACTTAAATCCCTGGTCCTAACCTTAACTACAAAAAATTTAGAGACTCTTAAAAATCTGTTTGGATCCTTTTAAGGGTTGGAGAATATGGACAATCTATATCTATTGAGACGAGTTTTTTTCGATTTACATCCAAAAGAACATGTAGAAAACAAGAATGAACTTGTTAATTGTATAAAATCTGTAAAATCTATAAAATCTATACACTTCGTAATATCATTGTTTTTTCTCCATAAACTATCGACTTATAAAAGCTATTTTCTGATTTGCCAGAAAATGGCTCGAAGTTCATCGTGGTTGTTATAATCTCTTTACTATACTATACTCTCACAGTATAAGCATTTGGTTGTTCTTTATTCATAAGCTTAAATAGTTTAATTGAGAAGCTTTGATTATCATTCAGGACAATGTTATCCGTGACTAATCAAGACAAAAGTTAGAACTTTTGAAAATCATCCGTCCGTTACTTGCAACCCAACACAATGATTTGATTCTATTTTGTGAAGTTACTTATACCAACATACTAAGACAACTGTGAACACGAATTTAACTGCAGAAATGCCACAGAATTCCTAGAGGGATATCGCTCATACCAATTTGCAAAGAATAAGTGGTATCGACATACATCTATCAATCTATGTAGGAAGGATTAATCAGTCGCCATTTCAGAGAGCAACCTAGTAAAAAAGTCACTGAGAAGAGGATGAAATGAAGATAACGAGGAAATCCAATCACAACCAAAGCTACCAGAACGGATTGGTTTGACGAGGTTTTTGAATAATAACGAAATCTTTGCAATCAAACCATTTAGCTTAGATGATATAACTTTACCAGAACTGTCTTTTTAAAATTGAAACTTTCAACTAATCTGTTAATAATCATTTGATAAGTTAAACTTATTCGGTATTCAGGTCATGGAACATTTCTTCAGTACTTTGGTTAATTCCGCAAATACCATGAACAGATGTGTTAATTGATACACCTGAACATGCATAACAGGGCTTCTTAAAGATTAAATCGTGTTAAAACAATTTTTACAAGAAACTTTGATAATATCGAATTCTATTTGAAACTAGCAATCATCATAATTTATTCAAATCATTATTCATTTATTTCAACTGAATAACATACATATTTGGTACAGAAATATGATTAAGAATTAGTTACAAACCATTGGACAGTGATTCTTATTTAACTTAATTCACAAGTAAAGAACAGTGCACTAGACTTTGAGCCACAATATGTTTGATGACTAATGATACTACCCGGATGCCTAAGCGAAAGTGCATGAAGCGGGACTCTAACATGTGACCTACTAATTGAAAGCCAGATGTCTTAACTAATAGGTCGTCGCCTTTAGTACAAAAGACAAATAAATTCACCTACAAATTACTGCATAGCACCGGCTAGAAAATGACTTCTTTCTCATGTATCAAAGTACACATATATTTTCTTATACGATAGCTAGCGATAACAACTAGCTGCCAAAGTGAAGTATGCGGAGTGAGTTAGAATATGAAACATAAAATATAAATTCACTTAGTGTTGTCTTACTTGTATCTTCCAATTGTTATTTAGGACTGTAATTGACCAGTCTCTTGTTGGCACATGTGTATCTTGTGGGGATCGCCTTGACATAGCCTTAAGTCACAAGCTTTTTAAGCAAATATAGATAATGGCTAGCAGTGGAATCCAGGACGCTCGTTTCGTCCTATTCGGGACTCGTCAGCTGGATGTACCTGTATCCCACCAAGTGAGTTTAAACCTCACCCCATTGAATAGGAAGGTGGCTTTCAGGACTCGGTGGCTAAGTGGATAATGTGACGGCCTTTGGAGCGAACGGTACTGGGTTCTGGGATTCAGGTACACCCAACTGATGAGTCCCAAATAAGACGAAACGCGCGTCCTGGATTCCACTGTTAGCTACTATCCATCTTTGCATAAAATATAAGGGTTTAATGTCTAATAATTAGACCAGTGCTTCATTTATGTGACTTAATACATATTCAGAAACCCGACTTTCAGACACATTTTATGTACGGAAGTTAGTGATAATACCTGAAATACAGTGTGGGTCGGATATCCGTCCTAGTGATTGAGAGTCAAATTCCTTTAGCACCGAATCACCGAACTTATGCAATGACGCAAACAAATAGCAGAACTTACATTATCTTGTAAAGTCAGAAGTCGGCGTCGTTTAGATTTCATTCGTGCACTACGTCTTGCATAATTTAAATTTTTAAAGTGTTGTGTTCTGGATGGGTTTTGATCGAATTCTGTGGATTTACTATCAAGAAGACCACTGTCTTTTAACAACTGTGCGAATTGACTACGTAATCGGACCATTTCATGAAGACGTTGCTGTTGTGCTCCAATACGACGACACCATCGTTGAATGTTTTTACATCCCTTGTCATTATTATTATTATTATCATCAAATTCGTCTAATTCATGATCTTGTTTAATAATACCAGTCGCCTCCGATTTCATCTAATGGTTACATCAAAAACAATTGTAATCAAAAACCTTATTTCACACTGAAAAATGAATTATGGGAGAAATACAGCAAGGTTATTTTGAGTGTTTTTACTATCTTCGTTAAGATTGAATAAGTTAGACCGTCATGCTTTTTGTCGTTTAAGACAATAATCTTTAATATGAGAACATTGGGTAGAAACACGAAAGACAGATTACGGGGAATTTTTCATGTTAAGCCTTCTATGAACAACAAATTTTACGCGATCGACAAAAGCCTTAATACGTTTGTGAACTTTATTTCCATCTCTGATCCATCATCAGTCGTTTGATGAGTGGCAAATAATCACACCCTATTGATTCAATATAATTTTTATATTAACTTCGATCATTTAATACACATTCAATAAATTGGATGATTCACATCTTTATAAACTGATAGCTATCTTATTAATGATGATTAGTATCTGTATTGAAAAATAATGTTTAGTATTTTAGCATCTGAAATAATATATGAAAGGTGTACCTGTATGGTAACATTTACTTAGTCAATAGCCTCTTATGTTACTCCTAATAAAACTTAGAAATTCTGAGCGCTTCAAAATCAAATGAACATTTGAAAAATAAAGTTCTCAGGTATCAAGCTCATCAAAAGACAGCATCGATAAACAAGAAAGATCTGATGCAGATGTAAAGCCGAGGGTTGGTAAGGCAAGGGCTGCATTCCTACAATTGGAGAACATATGGAACTTAAAACAACTATCAGCCAACATCAAATTGAAAATCTTCAATACGAACTTCAAGGCAGTTCTATTGCACGAAGTTCAAATTTGAAGAACTACTTCAATTAGCATCAAAAATGTACGGGTATATACATAAATAGTTGTTTACGCAAGATATTCAATCTCCGTTGGTCGGATACTCTCAGCAACAACCTACTATGGCAGAGAACAAATCAGCTTCCATCTAAAGAGGAAATTATGAATAGACGCTGGAGATGGATAGAACATATATTGCAGAGATTATCAAACTACATCATGAAGAAAGCCATAACTTGGAATCATCTGGAGAAGAAAGGAGGAAGACCAAGAAATACACTGGGTTGGGAGTTGGAGGCAGACATCAAAAGAATGAATAGGGGTCAGGAACAACTGTAAAGGATTGCCCAGGACAGAGTTGGTTGGAGAATCCTGGTTGGTGGCCTATTCTCCATGAAGCGTAACAGAAGAAAGTAATTACTTACGCCTGCTACTCTTCATGGAGGAGCATACGCCGCCCACCAGCACTCTCCATCCAACTCTGTTCTGGGCAATCCTTTTCAGTTGCTATCCGTTATTTTCATATCTGCTTCCAATTCACGACGTAGTGTGTTCTTCAGCCTTCCACTTTTCTGTTTTCATTCATGATTCCAAGTCGGGGCTTGCTTCGTGATGCAGTTTGATGATCTGAATAATGTATGTCCTATCCATTTCCATCATCTTTTCCTAATTTCCTCTTCAGATGGAAGCTGGTTTGTTGTCTTCCACAGTATGCTGTTTCTAATTGTATCCGGCCAATGGACGTTGAGTATCTTGTGTAGACAACTATTTATAAATACTTGTACCTTCTTGATGATACTTGTATTAATTCTCCAAGTTTCAGCTCCGTATAGTAGAACTGTCTTGACATTCGACTTGAAGATTGTGACTTTGATATTGGTTGACAGATGTTTGTGAAATTACACACGCAACATGATTGGAGGAATTTGATTATGCACTTAGTCAATATCTCAGCCTACACATCTTTGTCTGGATTAGAAGGATAAATGTATGTTTGATAGTGATCTGTGTACCTAAATATTCGATGTTGTGAACTATAGTTTCCTAGTAATTTTTGTCTTCTCACACACGCAGGTGCTTGGGAAAAAGTATGAGAAGTGCGTGTATCTGAATCGAATGCCGAAGATAGCAACAAGAGTTCGCATAGAAAAGTTGGTAAAAACGTGGTTCCAATATCACTGACAACGTAGCAAATAAATGAATGAAATACAATTATGATGTTGTTCTGACAAGTTATTAATGTCAAGTTGTAAAAAACTCTGGTTTCATTTCAAGTTTAAAATATCTTCGTGAAAAATTCTAAAAAGTACAAGGCCTACATAAACTGTTATCTACTAGACAAACTATCACACAAGTAGGAAAAAAATACAAAGTTAGCATAAGATTCTATTCGTTATACATTATTTTCATGAATTATAAATATAATAAGTTACTACTTGTATTACCATATTTTAAGTGTACACTGAAGAAAGTGTCAACTTTTTCACACACCTGATCGGCTTTTGCAAAACTGAGTCAATTGTGGCGTAGGAGAGATATCTGTCTACCGACAAGAGGGCGGGTCTGCTGTAAAGCCATTCGCTTCGTTCTACTTTTATAGGTGTGAAAAGTGGTTATTAGAAATAGAGGATATTCGCAGGTTATTAGTATTTGGTCAAGGTGTATTCAAAACATTGTTCATGTATTTTAAGACCACGGAGTAAGCAATACCCGGGTTAGGAATAGAGTAATAGGTAAAAATGGCAAATCGATTGATGAGGTAGTAAATCTTAGTCAACTGCGGTGATTGGAACATGTTGCGTATGCCCAACCACTGCCTACTTAGAAGGGCGATGTTGTCTGGCATAACAGTAGATTGGGAAAAAACTAGGAGATAACAAATCAAACCAAGGTATCAGTCCATGAAACCACTAATAATTAGACTGAGTCATATTAATAGGTACAGACTACCTGGTTGGGGTCTGCGTGGTTGTCGCAAAGGTTAGAGACTCTGGGTAACATAACAGAATCGTTCGCAATGGCGCAGATTCATCCATTTTTTATCTACACCCAAATCCCGAGATTTTAAATTCCTCATAACATTTTTTGGTTTTAATTTATCAATCTTTATTTTCTTCTCGAATCGTATCTTCGATGCCTAATCTTTCCTATTACGATTGATACTTTTACTACCTCTATTATTGTGAAATTTGACCTGAAAATTTCATCTCTTTGTGCTAACGGGATACGGCAACTTGAACCGATGCACATACGTACAGGTTCTACATTGTGACTGACTGGAACAGTAAGAAACAAACACTATTTGAATATCTGTTAACAATTATTCAACCATATGGTTAGAAATTAAATGAGAATATATAATTATTATCAACAACAAATAAATACAAGAAATAATAAATATTATCAATTACACGTTATTAAGATAAACTACCTTAATCCATTCATCAAAAACATTAACCAATGTAAACGCATCTCCATGATCACTTTCATATTCAGCTAGTGATTCGATTCGACGCGTTTGTTCTGCTCCACTGAAAGCTGTATACGGTAATAATGGACACTGAATAGCCATACCAGCAGCTAAACTTAATACGGGATTAATTAATCTTAATAATGATGCCATAATTAACATACGACCTATTGAAAATTCAACTGGTATATCAGATAATAATTGGCCAAGTGGCGTAACCGTTAACAAGTTATTCTGTGGAATAATTGCACCATGTGACTGAAATGAGAAAGTAAAACGATACAAACACTAAAATTTGTTGATATTGTCTTCAATATTTTTGTATTTATCTAAATACTCTGAACTAAACAGTAATTTTTTACACAGAGGTTTCTTATGTGATTCTTGATAGAACCTTTCGAAAATGCAAGCTCTTAGGTTGATACACAAAGGTAATATTACAGTGACTGAAATACATGAAGCTGTGGAGTAAGAATTAAAAGAGCATCTTGTATCCTACTGATAATTATCAAATTTTACTGACTATTTATTCAAACGTAGAATCAGTAATTTAATGATCGATGTATTGAACATTCAACTGCTGAGTGACAAGTTCAAATCATATTTTGCCTACATCAATTTGGATCACTCCAATTGATATTCTATAACTATACTAAATATTGTACTTTTTTCGTTAACAAGCTCAACATAAAAAGATTAACTGATATCTTGATGAATAAAAACAGATCACATTATCTCAACTCTTTTACATTTGCTCAGATATATTCATAATATATGTGTATTTATTGAAAGCGATCTCACAGGCTTCATTATAATAGTACTTTAATCAGCCAAGGTGATAAAATATTAAATTAGTATTTATTATTGATGGTTTGTAGTCTTTTATACAAAGTACCAAATCCCATGCCATCTAACACAAAGTTTGACGTTGCTAACATATTTTCATATGGAATTTCAATTGGTTTATAAGTTTTGCTCATAAGTTATGATGAAGGATGTTAGTAATCTTAATTTGAAAAGTAGGTATTGTGTAAAAATTCGAAATGGTCAGCTAGTGTCATTATGTGATTACCATAATGCATAACCGATATGTGAACCATAAATAATTTCAACCAGAGTTGAATGTATAATTTAAACAGTCAAAGTTGGAGGTGTGCCACTGATATGATATTCTGATCATTTATAACACCACAAAGGAATAACGCAAAAAATTTAGTAGAAACTCTACTATGACGTTGTATATGTCAACTGATTCACAAATAAAAGTTATAATGACACTCGAGAGGAAATCAAAGCCATTTCTGATATGGCCACAAGGAATTTGATGCTGTACAGAGCCATATCGACAACTACTTATGATTCAAGAAGAGGGAGATGCTGCGTAGATGTGGATAGGGAAAAATACAAAACTCAGAAAGTTATTTTTTTAACTAATTTATATCACTTTGTAAAACACCATGTTTACACAAACTTAATAGCAATCTCTTATCAGCTAATTAATGTTAAATCCATTACTAATCAAAAACTAAAAAACTTGAACTATGATTGGGTTATTCGAAATTATCAAATCAAACCTTGGTAATGACACCTATGATTGGGTTATGCTCAATTTTGTAGAGAACATCTCTCAATTGTGTGCCTATTACGATTTATAAGTTATAAGATAATGTAGCCTGGTATTTTACATGTTTACTTACATAGGTTATACATGTTAATAAATAAACGTAATTGTGAATAAATATCTCAGTTTGCAACTGGAGGATTTAGAAAAATAGGACTTAACGCTGTGAGTACCAAATATGTGAGAAAAATACAGTAAATAAGTGGACATAATAAAAACCACTGTTAAATATTTCAAAATGATTAGCAAGAAGTTTTAAAGCTTACTTTTTTTGTACCTAAAAATTACACCGAGTCTCTTTTATGAAACAGTTAAGATATGCAACTAGAAAAGTGTTTTATAACACCATAATATGAATTTATTTATTTCAACACATATTTGTACAAAGAGGCACCAAATACATATGCGCCACACAAATCTCATTCGATATGTGTGAGGGCTGTGATACTGTCCGGGTGCCCAAAACGAAACAGGTGGTTTCCTTATGGGGGCCACACCCGGAGCCTTCGACCTGAGGGTCTGATCCACAAGGCAGTGGAACATCGTAAGAAGATACAGTCCCATGGAAGCCGGTGACCAACAATTGGTTCATACGCCATTTCTTCCCGCAGGATACTGGAGCTCATATGCACCATTGATTTGGAATCCGGTTAAAGCGCCGGACATTCGCTTTTCGTCCTCTCATTTTCGTAAACAACACCCCCGCCACGAGAGGGCAGTGAGTAGGACTTCCCTGGCAGAGGCTATATACACGTGACCATGTGAGAGCATTTCGAGAGGGGGAGCGGACTCTCCTCACTCTCGGCCGTACCAGGGCATTTGGGGGCCCATAATATGAAATGCAATAGTCAACCAAATAACTACTTAACATTGGCACAAAAATGAGAGCTTATAAATCGGTTAACTTTAAGAAAATATCTTGAACACATAATAAGAAATAAATAGCGGTGAAGTAAAATACGTGATGGAAAATTGATCCAAAAGAAGGCTGTGAACAGATGATAAACACGAGGAAATCACAATGTAAGTTGGTAAATTCCATAATAGTATGAAAATTTAAAAAAAAATAATCTCGTGCGATATTTCAATATAAAAAAGTGAAGGTCAAAACGAGATTAAATAGATTATCAGTGATATAGATTATTACAGGGTGATCAATTCTTTTGAACATCATAGTCTCACAAGAGATTAATTAGTAGAGATCTGAATAGCTCACTGGTAATGTATGTAATAGGTGATGTAGGTCTGATTCTCTACAAGGTCATTAATTCCCTTAAGATTGCAGATATGCCTTGCTGATCAGTGATAACCCAACACGAAACCTAATTAGGGAATTTCTGACTACTGAATTCAATCAGTTAAACAGTAAGAAGTCACTCAACAAAATGTATATAAAACTCACCAGTGATATTTAAATGATGCTTTATTTCAAGGTGCTACTTTATTAATCAAGAATTACTGATCTATTTCCAGATGTCAATCGCAAACAATCTTACGAAAATACTGGTGATCTGTTTAGTATTTTCAATTGCGGAGCACCTAATTCTACAATTTTCGTATAAATAAATTTTGTTAACAGAAGGAAGTCTCAATAGTTGTGAGTATCCTCATAGTGATATATACTAGATTAAATTAATTCTAGACGAAGATTTATCTTTCCTACCACACTCGAGTCGATACTCAGAATAATTTATACGCACAGACGTCTTGACTATTTTCAACGGTATACCTTCATAGATGAAAGTGATTACAATTTTTATCGATCTTAGGTTAGTAACTATTTACCGGATAATGTGAAATATCTAAAATAATAGTGGATGATGATCACCAACAGACTTAATTAGGAACTGATTAGCTTGTACCATTTTCAGAATGAATGCCAAAAGGTTTAATATTCGGCAACACATCTATACCTCTAGTATTCACTTCTGGTAATGGTGATAACAACAAAATGAACGATGGTAGAATAGAGAGGCTTAAAAAGAATCAAAATTGCATGATACTACTGATCTTTTTCTAATAAAGGTGCTGTATGCTACTACACTGGAAAATATGACGTGAGAATTTCATCAATCGGTTATAACCAACATAGAAAACTTGCCACAAATGTGAATTGATGCGATTCACCATACTTTAACATTAGTACAATGAGAGGGGATTGAAAAAATGAAAAGTAAGATAATCAAACTATATTAGTAATGCTGATGGTAAACAGACAGAAAATATAGTTCTTAGAGAACAAATGAAATCGGAAAGGATTAAGTGTAAATTAGTATCAAAATTGAGGATCCAGAGGAAATTAAACAATAAATGTCTGTATTGCTGTATGACACTTAAGGTCTCCAACCTAAATATATGAGTCTCCTCGGATAGGTCAGTCTAACAGTCTGTTTTAAGAACTGACGCGCAATCTTTGATTCTGGATGCCATTTCCGACTAATATTCATGTGCAGTACAAACCACGTAAAAAGCAGAAGATAACTGATAGTGGTTACTGGTACAATTATAAGCACAAACCTTATAACATTTAACAAATTGTCAGCAAGGTATAGATGAACCCAGTATTTCTCCTCTTAATGAGCTTTACAACCAGGATTCACTTTTTCAAACACTGGGTAATTTATCAAATAGATTGTAGAGGTTCAATTAGCATCCGTTTTTTAATCACCGCTTTAATTCTCACAAATACAAGAGATATGTTGACCAGATGAAACTCTTAACAAGCTACCATGAATTCTCTTAACTTTTTATTTATTTATTTATTTAAACACATAAACATTGGTACAAGAAGGCACCAAATACATATGCGCCACATAAATCATTCGATTTGTGTGAGGGCTGTGATACTGTCCGGGTGCCCGGACTGAAGCAGGTGGTTTCTTTAGGGGGCCACTCCCCGAGCCTTTGACCTGGAGGTCTGATCCACAAGGCAATGGAGCATCGTGAGGAGATGCAGTCTCATGGTAGCCGGTGACCAACAATTGGTTCATACGCCATTTCTTCCCGCAGGATACTGGAGACCATGTGCACCATTGGTTTGGGATCCGGTTAAAGCGACGGATATTCGCTTTTCGTCCTCTCAATTTCGTAAACAACACCCCCGCCACGAGAAGGCAGTGAGTAGGACTTCCCTGGCAGAAGCTGTATACGCGTGGCCGTGTGGGAGCATTTCGAGAGGGAGGGAGGGCCCAACCCACTCTCGGCCACACCAGGGCATTTGGATTCCCTGTAAACCGTTAACACTAAAGGCAACAATTATATCAAGATGGGACAGACCAAACAGATTATAACTGTTTTTAAAATTAAGAAATATAGTGTGTGAATGCAGTAAAAATACATTACAATAAACTTTGGATGATATTTCAACGATTATGAATGGTACTGGAAAAATATTTTAATTAAAATCTTACTATGATAATTGCTGTGATAATTAATTTGACTTATTATTCAATAAACTAACTACACATAGACTAAGCATACCTTTAATATATCAAGTGCTTCATCAATGCATTTCATTTCAGGTGGGTCAATGAAAGGGAATTTTTTTATATCTGGTAAACCCATGACCATCATCTGTAAAACAAGTGTTTCTAAAGGAACACGACGAATTTCCGGGGTACTAAATGCCTAGAGATAAAACAAATGGAGGACATAATTGATACAAAATGTCAATAATTTCTCCAGTCTTTAAATACATGAAATATGATTGAAAACTTTTAGTAATGAAATTCAACTGCATTTAGGGTGAACGATTTTCAACTAAATAACTCAAAATCAGTTTTAGGTAACTGACTCATATTTTTAAGTGTAAGCATAGAGAGGTTACAATGCTAACTACTTGTTTGACTTACAGACTGTCACCAATCTACGAATCCCAAGCAAATAAAAAGGGGGAAATACAACAGGAGCTTAACTTAGAAGTTATTTTAACAATACGAATTCGAAGTTATTAGTTGAATTATAAGTGATCTTAACGTCCTGGAAACTTATAAAAGAGATATGAAAATGGTAATGTTTATGAGTTTGATCAATCAAATTGAAGAACATGAATGGGCCTGTGTTTGAAATTTACCAAATGTCCCAATTCCATAAACATATTTCGGTTCGTCCTTAGCTTTTGTATAGACTTACAAATACCCTGACACTTAATTGTTGAATACAAAAAAAAACATTACATAAATAAATAAAGTCATCAATCTATGTCAAGCGTTGCAAAATAATCTAGGATTTCTCACCAATATTCTGTTTAAAAGCGATATGAAATAATTAGGCAAGAATTAAGATTGACATTCATGTCTTTGGTGCATGGGTGACTGAAGAAACTTGTATCCAGCAATCGCCTATGTGTCAAATGACACATAATCATGTTTACTTCCACATTAATATCTTATGCATAAATGTATTATTTATTCCGAGGAAAATCCTATTCCGCCGACAACATGAATTTGCATTACCTATTGACTACTACATTGTTCGGTATTTTAACAACGCAAAACGTATTAGTTACAATTCACTGAATTTAGTTATGCATAATAACATATACAAAATTCACGATAAAATGATAAGCAATTCGTTCCACAAACTATATAAGTAGATCTCAGGTCCGTGTACTCAGCTTTGAGTCACACCTTTTTTATATGTGTGGGTTGATGTTACCAACTGCCTACCCAGACCAAAATAGACGTAATACAAGTAAAACTAGAAACCCACTGGTTCAAAGTCACGTTCTTCAACCACTAAGTCATTGTTTCATAGACTGCATGAAAAAGTACTTATTATTATTTCGTGACACTACAAAATGGAATAAATCAAAGAAAATATCAGTTTAGTTCATTTACCTCAAAATTATCATAATCCTCTTGAGTATAGAAACGATAACAAACACCAGGACCTGTACGACCAGCACGACCTTTACGTTGATTAGCACTTGCTTTAGATATTGAAAATTCTTTTAAGCAACGCATTCGTGCTTTAGAATCCCAACTCAATTCTTTGACTTTGCCGGAATCAGCTACAAATCTTTAAGGACGTAATTTGTGATTGTTTTTAAAAAAAAACAAAGAATCACATATATTAAGAGACAATTCAAATCTATGACAACGTTGAGAATAGCACTGAAAGTAATGATGACACTATATAATCTAAAAATGTATAGTTTAAGTGAATGTTTCCAGTGGATTATGTTTTCTATGCTAAAATTATTCGATAATGACTTTTTGTGCATTTATGAAAGCTTCTCCGTGAATAAACGTATTGAAATTCAATTCAAGTGCGAACTCTTCCTGTCAATAATTCAATGATTTGAAACCTTACAACTTGAGGAAGTGCACACATGGACCAATTCCCAAAGCTTCAATGTGGCTTCATTAGAATTGAAATTTTGGGTCGAGAGCTGTACTTTGTTTGTTTCCAGTAATTATGGGTGAAACACAAACATAAAAGGATAAGTTAATAATTAGGGACTTCAAAGTGAAACATTTTTACTACGTCAACCTCGATCAACTCGATTCAGTCAATAATAAAGTGACAATTGAAATGAATAATTTCTAATTAACTCAAAGGGCAGCTATCTCAGAAATAAATCATTCAGAGATAAACCGAAAATACTTTCAAACACAGTACATAAAAAGTAGTTATCCAATCAATATCGTTTATATACGATAGATAGAATGTGATTAATCCAAGACTGATCTGCTTATTTATGTTTCTAAAAAGCAGACTCGAATTAGAGTTGCACAAATGATACGAGACACATCGGTTTATGATAATTACCAATTTTCAATATATAAGACACACCTTATTCCATCTATAGTTAGGGAGGTTTCGGCGATATTTGTTGATAAAATACATTTACGTACACAGTCTGGAGCAACATGAAAAACTTTCTCTTGATCTGATGCAGATAATGCACTGTGCAATGGTAAAATAATCCATCGTTTTGTTTCTTCAGCATATGCTTTAGCTGGTTCCATTATTGCCTTTCGCAACAAAATAGAAAAACAAAAGCAGGATTAAGTTGGAACCGCGTTATTTTGAAATAAAATGGCATAGAGAAAATATTATCACAGCTTGGGCATTAGAAAAAAACAGAATGACAAACATAAATAAGAAAAAGTAAGACGTAAGATGTCGCATTATCGTTCCCAGAGTATTTTTTCTAACTGCCAATAAAGTAATAAATAAATAATTTTTGGCTCAGCTACACTAAAGTAAGGATGATATCTGAAACAAGCAAAAGATACTTCGATGAACTTTGACCTTTAAATGAAAAGAACTTCTAAGTCATTAAAATGAGCAAAAATATTGATTGAAAAGGCAGTTTATTAATGTCTACATTCAATATGTCAATAAAATCGAAGTTTTATAAATTAGTAACCTTACGCATGAAGTAAAAACTCAGTTGTGCAGGTACTTAGCCTGGTTATCATTCGCAAAATCATACATTATAGCATGAATTTTCAAAATTTCACAGCTTTTATTACCTGACAATCTAATAACTTTCCATTTCGTCTTAAACTACTTATGAGTAGTTCGTGTTCTCGTATAAATCAAACTTTATATGGCTTCCGAGTCAAACGAAAATAGTCTCATAATAAGCATTGAGTTGGTGGTAGCAGGCCACTGGGATACTGATATGATGTTACCGACAGAATAAAAATATGGATGATAACATGAATTCTCTATCTCCTTAATATTTGCTTGATATAACTTCTGATCAAATGGATAGAAGCTTTTAATATGCATGTCACCTGTAGTTACACGAAAAATGAAATGAGAAGGTAAACAACATAACAACTCACTTGAATATCAGCCATTCCAGATAAAAAGATCAGGAGATCGCCTCGTTCAGTAGCGGGATATGTAACATCGATTCGTCTTAGTAAACGAATATACGGTGCAGGATCAATTCTGTCAGTTGTGTTGGCAATTTCAACTGGACTAAGTGGAATGTATTGCAAATCGATGGGGTAAAGTCGTCCAGGCACCTATTAATAATTCATGCTTAGTTATACACAAAATTTTGCGAACAAAATGTTATCTCAGATATTTGGTTAACAGACTAAAGAAATCAACATTGAATGATCCCAAACGATCATGTTAAGATATATAAAGTAGGGATAATGAGACAAGCCAGTGTAAAGTGAACAAAGAGGAGTCATATGCAAACAGAAAATATTTACTGGATAAAACCTAAGATAAATGATTATAACTTGTAAAGAGATAGGGTAGTGAGAGCAAATTTATTAGATGTTTTGAGATAGTGACTTAGTTTGCAGGAAAGAGCACTCATAAAGTTTTTTGTATGTAGAATAAAGATTCGAAAACGCATGAGCTAAACGAATTCTTGACAGACATGTTCAGAAGATTTCCATGCTGAATGTTAACTAAGTGTGTAGCGTCCTAGTTTATGCATCACGATGGATGAAATCCAGAAACACGATACCTGGCTCTCTTAAAACTCACTGTAGAAACAATTACTTTAAAAAAAACGTAGAGATGAGATCACCAGCAACCTTACGCTTACTTACAAGTTTAAAAACTCTAATTCTTCAAGAAATAAACTAACTTCTTATTTCTTCTTAACTTTTTCAGGAATCCGTAACCCACTCAACACGTCCTGAATAGAATTTTAAACAATAGTCATTTCAGTAGTTTTTTTCTCTCAGCGGGATAGTTTAGTAACTAAGATAGAAGTCAGAAGCAAGCTTAACATGAAAGGGAATTACTTAGATTTACATTAGACGATTCAACTTCATGTTCTAACAACTTTGAATTAAAATGATCAGAGTAAATTCAATTCAAGCTCCTGAGAACATGAAGTCAAAAGTGTTACAAACAAGCAAATATAAATTTCCCTTTTAAACTTCCATACGACTATTACCCTAAGCATAGATTCTAATATAGAAAGGAAACATCAATTACCAAACAATCCGGATAAGACATCGTTCAACTATTGAGATCATGGTACAACATTAGTCATAATGACACAGTTGCATTTATTCTTTATCTTTTTCTTCTTTTAAATTATGAGTTGAGTGTCACTCTTTAAGTTTTACTCTCATACCTATAGTATTTCTTCGTACTGTATTTTTCATATGTAGATCTCAATTTTATTCTCTTTACATATAATACAGAAAATTTCCTACGATGCGCACACCGTGCTGATATGAAGTATGACGACACGTATCGCTACACATTCTTCCCAGGTCCTATGATAACAATGAATGAACATCAAAACCATCAGTCTGTTCTACATAGACTTTCACTATTATTTCTTTTTAAATTATTTTATGCCATAAGTTAATACGAAAGTAAAAAAATTTACCTGTATAATTGGGCAATCATTAAAAAATTTAGCAAATGTGTTCACATTTATGGTAGCTGACATGAGAACTACACGAAGTTTTGGACGGACAACTATAAGACATTTAACAAGTCCTAATAAACAGTCAGTTTGCCAGTGACGTTCATGTACCTGTGGAAGAAATAATATTTTAGAATTTTTACTCCTGTCATATATATATATAGTAGTAAGAAAAAAGATAGATAGGGCCTTTACTTAGTTTTCAATCGTGCTTACAATCAGATGATTGAAAAAAACAGGAAAAGAGAAAGTAAAGCTTTATTTACTAGATTAAAAGTAATACAATGATTAAGAAGAGTTAGAAAATGAAATGAATTAAGCGCAATGATGGCTAAAAAACACAAAAAGAAGGAAATAAGAGAAGATACAGTCAACTGTGAACATCATCATTTAGGAGATAAAGTTGCTCGTCGAATCAGATATACTATACTATAGTACAAAGACACAGATACTAAGCTAATTTCATATTGTGTCAAATTGACCAAAAGTTGGAATTTTCTTCATTACAAATCAAATCTTTTGAGTATGAGGTTGTGGAGAGTGTTGAATTTCATTGAAATCATGGACCCATCAATGTTGGGCTACCATCAAAACCCTGGAAGCACTGGACGGTCGTTTCGCCCTGACCTGGAACTCCTCAGAAGTGCGCATCCACGATCTCGCACGCGGGACTTGAAGCCAGGACCTATGATCTCGTGCGAACACTTAAGCACAAGACCACTGAGCCGGTATCCAACAGTGTTAATGTCTCCCTTCAACCACCTGGTGCTTCCAGGTTTTCGATGGTCTATAGTTTATGAATTCAATGAAAACAAAATCTTATCAATTAGAACGATTTATATGTAAATAATTAGATGAATCGTGGAAGGACACAATATGAAGTCCTTTGTCTTATTTATGAACCCTTCGAGACAGACATATGGATTAGAAATAAGATTATGCGTTACCGGATTGATATTTTTTAAAAGACTAGGACTTTGTGAGAACAATTATTTTCAATAACTTCGTCGTCAGACTCGGAGGGAGTGGCTTATATGAAGTCACGAAATGTCAGAAATATAATTTTTTCTACTCATTGGGATATACCAAAAAATATATTAACTGTTAACTTTTCTACCTAAAGATCAATTTATTTAAAGCTATCAAGTCTAACCTTAGCACTGACACTTATAAACATAGGCTCTACAGTTTTCAATCCATAATTATTATATTGTAATGGCCAAAATTAGAAATACAGAAATAAGTTGTGAGTGAATTAGATGTTATACACTAAAATAGTGTATATTTACACTGATTACGACTTAAATGTGTCTAAAGTATGTCACTTGTAAATTTGAAAGGTTGTTTAAGAAAGGGATAGGAAAACTGATACTAAATGGTATTTATATATAATAATCGATTAAAAATAATTCACAAGCAAGTGAACTGGAGATTTTACCTAGGTAGTAGATATAAAACAGGGGAATCACCAAAACTAAAACAATTGTCAGTTTCCTTGTCAAAATCCTGGACTAATCCTAGTTAAATAACCACTAGACGGCTATTTCATCCTAGCACGGGACTTTTGCTTGTCTGTTTTGAGAGCTGACCGCTGTTGCTGAGTTTATCAGCATGAATATGAGTTCCTTAACCAAAGCCACTTACTATTTACTATAGAACCATTTACTATCTATAAGCACTTGCAGATAAACCCCGCGGGAACCCAAGATAATCCTCTGCATTCGACTGACCTTGGGTGCGTTATTCAAGTGGAAATGATATATAACCACTTAAAAAGACGAAGTGTATTGCGATGTCCAGTTATTTGAATTAGTGGTCACATTTAAAATTAACTAAAGAAGTCATTGCTAAAACTAGACAATATAAAAATCAGCTACCATTATGTTTAAATTAGTCCCACAATTAAACATGGAGAACTATGAAAAAAGATGTCCCACTAAACCAGACAAATTTTGTACAAAAGGCAAATAATTTCACTTTTTAATTTCTAATGTTGAAGTTGACTACTAATTAAGGAAAAAAGTAGTCAGAGTGTCACTTGGAATTTCATCTACAACCATACATAAAAATCAACAAAACTCTCAGGATTATTTAAGCGTTAAAAATATACATCGGAAATAAACGCATCCCTCTTAACTATTTCATCGCAGTATACGTGAATTAACCGCTGAAAGCTGCCAAATAAAACAGTTCAATAAAAGTTCTAATCCAAATGGAAAACTTAATATGAGTTAGACTATAAGAATGTCAAGATAATTTGATCATAAATATTTTGAAACTATTCACAAACTGTCGAATTTCGGTAAAAAAACGCTAGACCAGAAAAAAAAGATGGCAATATAGAGAGAAAGCCAACTCAATAAGATATGATTTGCCTGTTGCTTTATTGTCATGTCTGGAGCACAACAGATACCTTATCGTCAAATTGATAATAAAAACAATACCAACCTCACTCAAGAAAAACAACTTAATGAATCGGCACTGTTACTGTATGATTGTACTCTTGATAATATTCAATGCGAAATGAAAGAGGACAGCTAGAGTATTTTCAGAGAATATAACAAATTAGTGTATGAAGTACACCGAACAGTCTTAGTATTCATAATTTGCTTCGGATTTTCATGAAGAAACTCTAGATACATTTCATCTTCATATGATGGGCAAACGCTAAGCCTAATAGCCAGCTATTAATTCCACTGGCTGGTGAATGATTTCTAAAAAACCCGTATGATCGCTTACGTTTCAAATTATATTTCATGATCATTTTTTGTACTGATATATTGTGTGTGCCACAGGAAATATTTAATTTCCTTTGTAGTGTCAGTTATTATGCCTAGCTTGAAATGGAGTTGGCTTCCCAGCCATCTTCCACGCGCGTCACTTTGCTCTGTTCTATTGCATTCACTTTACATACAAAATATATGTATTCAAAGGCTATTCTCGTTAATTGACTTATCTAAATTCCGTTATCGACTAACGTGATTTAAGTCGACGATGATATACGAGAATAGGCGATAGCAAACACTCATACAATCTGAATTGGAGTCAGATCACGGGCCGCCACACCTTGACCAGCTGAATCATATTCTAGAATCAGTTCGCTTGGGGATCCACGTAGATGATTGCATCTTTTATTAACCAACAATATATTTATTATTTTACCAACTAAAACCTGCTCATAACAAATTCTGAAACCTATATAACACATGTTGATATTCGCGAAATAATGATGAGACTAAACAAGCTGAACTAATTTGTGGAAATTTTTCAACCAGAATTCAAGAAACTTTTGTTTCAAGAATTACATTTCCGCTATAATGAACTATGTTAACAACTGGTTTGATTGTTTGAATTTGGTAATTTATTCAAAAACTTTGTTATTTAAGGTCTGAATTTCTAGTTGAGCTTCTGTTGAAAAAAATGCCTAAAACCGAGTCTGTTTTCGATAAATCCATTAATTTTTAATATATTCAAGCCAGAACATTTTGGAAGTCTACCGCAATTTTCAGAATTTCATCAATTGTCAACCATTATAAATTATCCAAAGAACAGTTTCTACGAGATAGGATTTTTTGGTGTTTTTCCTAATGTCTTACAGTGACCAGTGAAATATTAATTTTTAATAAGTTCTAGCGTTCCGGAAATGACTTCTTGTGAAACTGTAACTCGATAGTCGAAGGAATTTTTAATTTCTTAGTCCAAAACTCATCCCTTTTCGCCTACTTCAGTTTTTACAACTAAAAGACGTATTTTACCGTTAAGAAATAAATATAAAACCCTAATAAACTAGTTTGTACTCGCCCATTGAGTCGGATTCGTCAAATTTCATTCACCTGATTTCAGCTTCTGAAACATGCTTGATTTTTGAGGATACTTAGCTCGTTTGTTTTAGAAGGTTGATGATGAAAGGAAGATAGTTGTTTGATATTCAGTAAAAATTATTGAGGCTGTTATAGACCAAATAATACTATTTTTCAGAGGTGACTACATGGTAAAGAAAATTATGTCTTGAAAGTACCATATCAATCAAAGAGTGGATTTCAAAAAGTTAAATGATATGATACCACAGTTTTTGGGAACGGTCAACAGAAATTCTTAAGTAAATAAAATTCCCGTCTTATTAGTCCTCTATAAGATAGTTAAAATATTCATCCATAAAACACAAATTTTATTTAGGTAACTTATGTGTGAAATTCCTGCCATTTGTTCATCCCAGTGAATGCGAAAATTTAAACGGATTAAATAATTTAGTATATAACTCACAGTTAAATAATATACGGAGATTTCACCAAATTATGTTGGCAAGTTGGTAACTACTTGTGAAGAAAATCCATAGTACTACTAAAAAAATTTCATGCTTGAATTTATCTAACTCAACAGTCAGTAACAACGTAGAACTTCGTACGTACGTACATCAGTTCGAGTTGCCACACCACATTAGCACAGAGATGCAGTGGTCGATTCAAATCTTGTAGTGGTAGAGGTAATAAGAGTATAAGCAGTAATCGGAAAGATTAGTGTTTGGAGATGTTACTTAAAGAGTATAATACAGTGAAATAAACTTGGGAAGAGAAAAAGAGACAAGGGGGAATCAAGAGATCAAAATTTGGGAGAACACAAAGAGTGGATGCACCTGCGCCACTCTAACTCAACACAAATTTCCTTTCAGAATTATACAGTTCACTCAATTTATCTTTAGTTTTATAAGTTTACTCAAAGCATTACATGGAACAAATTTCATATTTAAACGTATAACCTCCTTACTTACTTCATCAAGAACGATAACATCATAGTCGCTCAGAAATGGATCCATCTGCATTTGACGTAACAATAAACCTTCTGTGAGAAAAAGAATTCGTGTAGCCTTAGTACGACTTCGTTCAAAACGGACCTAATAAAAAAATTTTCAGAAAAATATAAGCGTATCTTGTTAGCAGAATAAATTCATACATTTATACAATAAGATGAAAACAAATTTAATTCCGCTCTGAAAATTGACGACAATTAAAGTCATCAATCACCGTCCTTTTTATTTATAGGTTTTCATAATATCAGATCAAAAAGATCTGATTCTTGATACATACATCAAGATATTATCTTCAGGAAAGTTATGATATTATTTTGGTAGTGACTAGTAGGGAAATCTGCAAAGTACGTTATATTTAATATGAAACCATACACTGGGTGATATACACTTACATTAGCATTTCCAATCAGATATGAACTTGGCAGTCCACATCAGTTGTCATTGGTATATTAGACTTTAATTGAAGTATACACTGCAAATCATATTATTCAAAATGAGTAAGAAAAGTTAAAACCCGAAAACCGATCTTTTAAAATTTGTCAAAATCTTTATTCAACCAGAATGTATCAGGAGAACAGTGAATTTATATGTTTGTGTTTCCCGTTGCTAGTATTCAAGATTATACTTTGATAAATTTTTGTTTGCGTATATTCATCTTGAACAGATGCCCCGACATTGCCTCTAAATCAAAAGCTTTGTGATATTCGGATTATTGATAGGAGTGGATCCAAGATATGAATCCCTTCCCTATACATGGGGCACGTTAAGTGAATGCACCTAAATCTCAGTACAGATATTCAAAATAATTTGAGAACAGGACATATAACTTTAGACTAGTCCTATAAAAGGTAAGTCCTGTTTATTAAAATTAAAAGTATCATAACAACTAGAAAGTATTTTTAAAAATCTCGTCCCAACTTACTTGATATCCAACCTTGGAGCCTCTTTCATTCAACATCTCAGTACTTACACGTGCGGCCAAACTAATACACGCGATGCGACGAGGTTGAGTAACAGCAATATTTTGATAGGAGTTAGGTCCAGGTGTATCATTTGAGTTTGATTCACCATAATATAGGTACTGTGGTACTTGTGTTGACTTTCCACAACCAGTATCACCAGCAACTATCACAACTTGATGTTTAGATAGTGTAGATAATAATTCTGTTCTAAAGTTAGCGATTGGTAGAACACTTTGATCTATTCTAATTTTCACAATTCGAGCGAACTAATCGATAATTAAAATACAAAGATACTTATCAAATAAAATGTGTGGCCATGAAAAAAAGAGAATTAGAATAAAGATTTCTACTAAATATTTTCGAACAACTCTGAGTGAAATTATCAATGCCTTTTCTGAAGAAAAACAGATAACGAATAAATTAAGACTCAAAACTTAGTAAAGTGAAGACGGATCATTTCTAGTTTGAAAAGCTTTCTATTTTAGTCATAAAAGTGTGTAAAACTATCCCACTTAGTTGTTCGATATTTTCCCGTACTAAAAAGCCTTGACTCATGAAAAAACAAATCAAAGTAACTGTGGATTAACCTAACAACGAAAGTGAAAAGTAATAAATTAATCTTCCATGTTAGACGAAAACAAGGCTCATTTATTTCAGACTAGTTGAGAGGTTTCCTGAGACATTTGGAACAAATTACAGAAAACTATTGCTTAAAACGATTCTCATGTGACTTAATTTATTAATATAGGAGAGATGTTCTCATGTCTCTAGGTTATAACTAAAGTTCAGAAATAGATGAGTACCAAGTCCCAGTTCAGCAGGTTGGATCTACCTAAAGGTATATTCTACCGGACTAAGAAACTTGACTGAACACCGATAAGACCACAAACAGTGAGCATTACAGTTTCAGTAACTAGCAATAACTTGAAGTTTGAAGGAAAAGTTTTAGTGTTGGCTTTGCTGTGTGTAATATGAATAATTTCCCAATACAAACCAGGATCTTTCTTAATAATGTACCTTAATTATCAAGACCTAGGTAGTCGTGTATCTACAATCATCACCAATAATTGACTAGATCTTCCAACAATCGCACAATAAGCGAAGATAAAAGAACTGTTAAACATCTGCTTCTTTGAAATAGCACTTAACTAACGATTGCTCAAGACCGTTAGTCCGTCATTATCTTCACAATTTTCTTCCTACCCTCTCGGTAAAGAATTGCTTAAAAACAAACCCCACTAATGCATTGGGTGCTAACTATATGACCTAACGAACTAGCAACTGCAGTCTGTCGAAATTGCGACTTAAACTGTATTCCGAATATTTCAATATCTATACTATATATCACATCGGAAAACATGATGTGATAACAAAAGAAACGGAAAATACAGTGGTAATGAGCGGTATTAAAAAATCCCTTAAACCTGTTAGGAGTACAAAGATTACATCTGTTTTTACTGACAAATATTTTGGTACTTCAACAAGAAAACTATGAATCGAAGAATGGGAATAGGAACATGGAGGTATTAAATGAGGATTTATTTGGAAGTAGAAATAAATCAAACTGGTGTCTGAATACACTAATTTTGAAATGATTTACACTGATTAGTATTCGGACTCGTATATATTAAATTGAGTAGTATTTGACATTAGTTGACCAATAATTTGTTGAATAAATACAGATACAAAATATCATAAATATAACCATTTATCACCAACATATATAATTAATATGATTACTCCTCAAATGTAATTAAATGTTACAGACGATTGGAAAAAGAAATTAATATGGTAGATTACTGATACTTTCATCGAATCTTTGCTCGCAGTAACGAAAAACTCTGGCTGTTAAGGAAGTGCAGCCGAGAAAGACGGCTTGTTGGGTCCTTTTTAAAGCAGTTATGTGTAGTAATCGAAACTGTAGACGATCCAGACAAACTTGCAGCTGCAATTTTGTATATTGAGACTTAAATTGAGAACCAGTTAGTGGTACTGGCAATCAGCTACAGAAAGATATGATTAGAAACCAAATATAAGAACATATACCTGGACACTTGACCGCATCAATTATATAGCTTGCCTAACTAGACATTGATAGAGCTGCTTTACTTTTAGTATACTTAAGATAGCTTAAACAAATATCAACCACGAAAAAGCCACAGTTCTTGGCTAAAATGATAGTTTAGGTTACAGATGTTAGAAGGAATTCCCTACAGTCGTTCTCAATCGAAATATTTGAGTCGGATGGCTTTAATTAATAATGCTGATTCCATACTATAATCTCGTCATGAATGTCCTTTTAGAAGAAACGCAGAGGCTTGGTGGTTGAAGCACTAGCCTTCTAACCAGTCACTCACATGTTCGAACACCGATCCCATTATTTTAGTCGGGTACTACACAAACTGTGTGCCTCAAAGCCTAGTACAGAAATGCAAACTTCGTTAGTCAGTCAATCAGCTACAACGTATGACCAGGCACATATATGCATCAGTCCAAGTTGCCATACCTCATTAACACAGCAAGATGAACATCAAATTGACAAGAGTAGTTATTTCAATGATGGTAATATATAAAAGATTGTGTGTAAGGATATAATACAAGAAGAATTAGGAAGAAAGGCATACACCTATGCCATTGTGACCGATTCTGAGCCATGTCACCCAGAGTTTCCAAACATTGGTTATGAAGTCACGCGGACTCCAACCAAGTAGTCTGCATCTACCAACATGGCTGCATCTAGACATTAGTGGCTTCAATGACATACCACGTTCTGGTTTGACCGTCCTTAAGTATGTAAACGTTGTATGGGCTAAACTAAAATACGAAAAACTCAAATATTTTGTCTAGATTTACTAGAACTAACTGAAAGCATCTAATACAATACAGTTAACTAAAAATACAGGCAAAATGCTTTCTTCTGAACATCCTCAATGCCATTGTAAGAATACTTAAGATAAAAAGACACGTTTTCCGAAGTCAGTGTTGTCTTAATGTTTGTTTGGAATTGTTATTAACTGAAACAAGGTTGTGGTTTAATGACTTCACTATATAATTCAGTAAATTTAATCAGTCTTGATGACATTAGTATAGTCTAAACATACTAAATAGCTAACCTACTTCAAATTTTACTGTAGATGGGACTATTATTTAATACCATTTATCAATGACGATAAGAAACATTAGATTACAAATGAACGGTTATTCTCATCTTTATATTATAAAACGTTTGGCACAAAATGAGACTAAAACAATATCAAACAGAGCGAAATAATATGGTGAATAAAACAGGAAAGTGTCGCAAAACCAATAAATAAATAAGAATACTATATATTCAAAAATATACTTTAATTAGGTGGGAAAAAACTAAGGCTACTTTTCAGATAATACGCGCATCTTATTTTAATGAAGAACCAAATGGAAAACTAAAGCATGATCATCATAAGCAGAGATGGATAGTGACTAGCCATGAAATCCAGGACGCATGCTTCGTCTTATTTGAGACTCGTTAGCTGGATGTACCTGTATCCCAGAGTTGATGTTCATTCAGGGAAGATTCAAACAACCAGTTCAAAAATGAACTAAAAAGTGATCGCCACGGATTTACATTTTCATTTATGTTTGGTAACTTTTCACGCTACTGAGATGTGTAGTTTTTAAAATTCTACCCACATAATAATGATGGACCAACAGATACCAGTTTATCATTCATTTCTCTGTACCATATTATAAACTGAATATCGATTTGATTTCTCCATCCTATCTCAGTAAACAAACGCCATATGATATGAAAACTACTGGGATGAAATCTATCGTGCTCGAGCCGCTAATGCACCCACTTAAATATCTTAATGGCTAAAGTATTATTAATATGAGTGAACGGTCCTTTGAGAACGTCGATAGAACAGTAAATCACCAAACATGCTCAAGTTAACAATACCACGTTTACAGGCACTGAGCATAACTGATAGCATAATTTCATGCACAACCCATGCCCAGACTAGCATTGCAATGGCTTTGACGGTGGTCTAGATTGGAATGAATCTTTGTGCCCTTCACTATATGTAGACCGACTCTAATTGCACATCATCACAAAAACTCCCGAGAAAGATGTGCAACTACTTCTAATGGTTTAGACAGATTCCTACTAGGTTTAAAAAGTCAATTTAAGTATAAATGGTAAGTGTATTTCATACACATAAACAACGATCGTCAACCGACTAAACGCGACTTCGGTAGCTTATATGTCAATTTACGGCATAAAAACAAAATTCATACACTTTGGTTGACAAAATATTGCTAAAGGTAACAGACCCTTACCAATAAACACTTATTTTCTCATAACCTGTCTTAAAGATGTCATCGGTGACATGATGTTAGCTCTAGAATCCTTAGCATCGGTGAGAAATCATTAAATGCTTAAAAGCGGTATAGGATATGGTCAGAACATGTTGTATACTTTACCTAAAGCCTATCTTCGCTCTACATACTAATCTTAATGGCATCATTTAAAACGCTTAGTTTGTAAGCATTTCGAAAATTTAGATCATAGTGTCTCATCCAGACACTATACGTGTTTACACAGTTCATGAAAATATCACCTCCACTTGGAGGTGAAGATACCGGAACGTTCTCATGGAGATGACACCACAAAAATAGTATGGAGTCACCAAATGGTTTTCAAGAATATTTTTCATATGACAACTTAAAAATAAATATACCTTGCGCTTCAGAAGAAAATCGAGGTACATGTCATATATGAGATGAAAGCAATCAAGCTCTGAACGAGTAAGAGATCTGCGAGAACCTTCTTTTAAGTGAGGCCTAAATTTAAATTTTATTACTTGAAACATCGCTATGTCTAATATAGTCCTCTAGACGATAATTGCTCGTCCGAATGTTTAACTTCAATTTCTTACTTAGAAGACACCCATCAAGACCTTTGAAAAATATTATTTAAAGTTCCACAAACCTTCAGAAAAACTTTTTCTGACAATTTTCTGCAATCTCAGCAAAAATTTCCAAAATTCATCGTAAGCACTCGTATCACTGTCAGAATTGTAATGCTGAATATTCAAGATAACCCACTGAGAAATAATAGCTGATCTTGAATTAGGGAAAAATATATCTGTTAGACGCTTTTTATGAGCTAGGAAATCTGCAAGGGCATCTTCGTCCTTCATTTAACAACAAGCAACGCACAGCTAGAAAATTCGGCAAGGATGTTTAATCAATATTCAACAAGTGGTCGGTTGTAGCAAAAATAGTAGGTTGACTGACCTAAGTTACCCCCTGTAGTGAGTGCTTGAGAAAATTTTCGATTGTTTATATAGATTACAAGGATACACAATCCCGATTTCCCGAGCAGATTGTTCCGGTCATGGAGGACTTTTCTGGAACAGTTAAATCACAATCTACATTTATTCCATTGTGGTCTTTGGAAAATTGACTGGTAATCTCAGGGGTTGCCGAGAAAAGATTTTAACAGAAGATAAGTTATCTTTGAGCGACTGATGGTTCGAGATACCACTGTAAATCCATCCCTTAATCTACATAACGGAAGATGTCTGTGGTGTTAAGTAACTCCACAGTTACTCAACACTGATAGTGACATTTCTGAAGGCATGTATCAAGTATGTACTAACTTTTAACTAACTGTAACTGCCCAATTAAAGTTATTGATTCAACCAATCAATTAATCGATAATTTTAATTCAAAGATGGTTTTATCTTACAGTGTTAATAATGTTACACTATTCTCTCTTGAATCTTCCCATTTTTCATGTATGTTAATTTTTATCCAGGACATGTGTAATCATGTTTTAATACTTTTAAATCTTCTTTAACCTGACTTGTATTAGTTGACTGCCAACAATATTTGGAATGAATTTAGCATTCTGTTATTTTATGATCCTGGACCGCCAACAGTAAGCTCTTATTTATTGGATTGAAGGGTACGTTGCAGATCGGTTGAAAATTGTTGATGTTTGCTTATTTTCTAAAAACTTGATATCTGGCTTGATGCCTAAGGACAAGAATATTGATCCCATTCCGTAAGGAATATTTTTGTTGAGTCTTAGGCACTTAAAAGTTATGATTGATAATGATATATTTCTGCTAGACCAGGTACACGCCGTTTTTACACTCATGGTCTATAATTTACGGTATTATTACTATCATTATTTACGAACATCTTATGGGTACATAAGAGTTGTGAAGAAACCATTTCGGGTTTCTTCAAAAATGCAATAATACACAAGTTTCAATAATGTTAGCACTACATTTGCCATACTTGAAAAAGAGAATATTAATAGAACAACAATAATAAATCAGGTTCTGTGTAATTGAGAAGAATATTGAATTGAGTTTAAAGAATGAAAGGAAGAAAATAAAGAAACAGAAATAAATGAGACGTCAACTACGCAAATAATTTAATAGGCGTGTTTAGGTTGCCATAGAGGATGCTTCCCAGTAAGGGTTATAAAATAGATAAGATCAATAAAAATAAATGACAGTACGTTCGTACAGTTGTGTCAGAGTTTATGTTTTATGTATTATGCTTTAGTATTACACTTTGGGTGCAGCTTTTATAATCTCTTTCAAAAATGATATCGCGTCCACGTTGTGATTATGCGAAACCCAAACCATGTCCAAACCGAAATTTATCGTACTAGAGTCTGACCGTCGAAGTATTTATGTAATACAACTTTTTAGGAAGTTTATAATCGTTAAAAGTAGGTACAAATGGAACTAAGTATGAGCTGTGACCGTCATAGACGCGCATGTCAAGCTTGCTCCAGGCGTAAGAAGCTCCATACCTGAGCATTGAGGGCGTGATGCTGAAAAAGAGCAACAAAGGAGCAGCAAAGTATTTTAATATGAACCCCAAACAATGCTTAACCATTTGTAAAAGAACAGACGAAGGTATTAGATAGAACTCATATTAGCTCTTGTTGCTAGAATGAAGTGTGGTTAGAGCCTTCAGATAAGAGAATACTGTAACAAAGAACAACTCCGCCTGTAGCTCTTCTAGATTTACTGCCGATCCCAAGCGCGGGTAAAGGAGGAGGGTTGGGCATGGGGTTAGCTTTACAATTGACTGATCACTGGGTGGTGATCAATGTCTTGCTTGTCTAGTCCTTATTAGTGCAGATCGAATGCTATCGATCATGTTGCGATGTGGCCACCAGTCTAGGTGACTCGACACTGCGGGCACTATGTATTGAGATTTAGATGGTGGTTGGAGGTAGTCAACAGGAAACCCTGGACCCGGGTTTCGTGCTACTTGGCACTCGTCAGCAAGGTGTACCTGTAATCTTGAGAGAACTGGTGCTCCCTGGCGGAATATGATCTCGTGTCACCCAGCTTCACAGTCAGAGACGTTACCACTGAGCTATCCGAGCCGTGACTAACCTCCTGTAGGACTGAGATGTAATTACAATTGATTGATCACTGGGTGGTGATCAATGTCTTGCTTGTCTAGTCCTTATTAGTGCAGATCGAATGCTATCGATCTGCACTAATAAGGACTAGACAAGCAAGACATTGATCACCACCCAGTGATCAATCAATTGTAATTACATCTCAGTCCTACAGGAGGTTAGTCACGGCTCGGATAGCTCAGTGGTAACGTCTCTGACTGTGAAGCTGGGTGACACGAGATCGAATCCGCCAGGGAGCACCAGTTCTCTCAAGATTACAGGTACACCTTGCTGACGAGTGCCAAATAGCACGAAACCCGGGTCCAGGGTTTCCTGTTGACTACCTCCGACCACCATCTAAATGGGGTTAGCGTCCCCATCCCGTAGAAAACTAACTCGCTAAAAAAACGCCTACCAGAAAAAATAATCCAAACCATTTTAACTCTGCCCTGGGAGTTAGAAGGTCTTCATTTAGAAGAATTATGACGCTTCATGGTGAAAGCCGAGTTCCTTCGGAAGCCACGAGGCCGATGCCCCTTCTAACAACCAGAGCAATGAACAATGAATTCAAGATAGCTCTCAACAACATGTACCAAGCCTTACAAGATCTACTGAAAGGAGAAACTACTATGGAGGACAACTGGAAAGGCATCAAGGAAGCACTAACTTCAACGTGTCAAGAGGTTCTGGGTCTAAAGAAATACCATCATAAGGAATGGGTCACTACAGAAACACTGGACAAGATCAAAGAAAGGAAAAACAAGAAGGCAGCAATAAACAACAGCCGAACACGAGCAGAGAAAGTCCAAGCACAAGCTGAATACACAGAAACAAACAAGCAAGTGAAGAGGAGCATTAGAGCCGACAAAAAGAAATACGTGGAAGAACTAGCAACGATGGCGGAAAAAGCTGCTAGAGAAGGATATATGAAACAGCTTTATGATACAATGAAGAAACTATCAGGGAAATACAGTAAAACAGAGAGACCGGTCAAAGACAAAGAAGGCAAGCCAATCACTGAAATTCAATGACAGCGGAACAGATGGGTAGAATACTTCGAGGAACTCCTGAATAGGCCGGCTCCAATGAATCCACCGGATATCGAAGCGGCACACACAGATCTTCCCATAGACGTCAACCCACCAACGAAGGAAGAAATCAGAATGGCCGTCAGACAAATCAGGAACGGGAAAGCAGCGGGACCGGACAACATACCAGCTGAAGCACTGAAGTCAGACATCGAATTAACTACAAGCATGCTTCACGTTTTATTCAAAAAGATTTGGGCTGAGGAACAAGTGCCGATGGACTGGAAAGAAGGGCACCTCATCATGATTCCAAAGAAAGGAGACCTGAGCAAATGTATAAACTACATAGGCATTACACTACTGTCAATACCACGGGAGGTCTTCAACAGAGTGTTGCTGAACCGGATGAAAGATGCAGTAGGCGCCCAACTTCGAGATCAACAAGCTGGATTCCGTAAGGATCGATCATGCACAGACCAAATTGCAACACTACGGATCATCGTCGAACAATCAGTTGAGTGGAACTCATCACTATACATCAACTTCATTGATCATGAAAAGGCATTTGACAGTGTGGATAGGAGGACGTTATGGAAACTTCTTCGACACTACGGAGTTCCTGAGAAGATTGTCAATATTATCCGGAACTCATACGACGGACTACAATGCAAAGTAGTGCATGGCGGACAGCTGACAGATGCATTCCAAGTAAGGAACGGAGTCAGACAAAGCTGTTTACTCTCTCCCTTCCTCTTTCTCCTGGTGGTCGACTGGATTATGAGGACCTCGACATCTGAAGGAAAACACGGAATACAATGGACAGCTCAAAATCAACTAGACGATTTGGATTTTGCAGATGACCTAGCCCTACTATCGCATACACACGAACAAATGCAGATAAAGAAAGCCAGTGTATCAGCAGTCTCTGCATCAGTAGGCCTCAACATACACAAGGGGAAAACCAAAGTCCTCAAATTCAAAGCGGAGAACAGCAATTCAATCACTCTTGATGGCGAAACTCTGGAAAATGTAGAGTCCTTCACATACCTGGGAAGCATAATCGATAAACAACGAGCCTCAAATGCAGACGTAAAGGCAAGGATTGGCAAAGCAGGGGTCGCATTTCTACAATTGAAGAACATATGAAACTCAAAACAACTTTCAACCAATATCAAAGTGAAAATCTTCAATACCAACGTCAAGGCAGTTCTACTGTATGGAGCTGAAACTTGGAGAACTACAACAACCACTATCAAGAAGGTACAAGTATTTATAAATATCTGTCTTCGCATGATACTCAACATCCATTGGCCGGATACCATCAGCAACAGCCTTTTGTGGGAGAGAACAAATCAGCTTCCAGCTGAAGAAGAAATTAGGAAAAGATGATGGATATGGATAGGACATACATTACACAAATCGTCAAACTGCATCACGAGACAAGCCCTAACTTGGAATCCTGAAGGAAGGCGGAAAAGAGGAAGGCTAAAGAACACATTACGTCGGGAAATAGAAGCAGGTATGAAAAGGATGAATAACAACTGGAAGGAGCTGGAAAGGATTGCCCAGGACAGGGTTGGATTGATAATGCTGGTGAGCGGCCTATGCTCCTTCACGAGGAGTAACAGGCGTAAGTAAATAAATAAATAAATAAATAAGTAAATAAGTAACAAAGAACGATTATTTTTGATGCATAACAAGGCGAAATGTGCTCGACTGATGTAACGGAAGTTGAAGTCGGAACAACGAAGGCAGTTTATTGGAGTACAA